TTTTGGGGTTCAAAATTCTTCAGACTTTTATTATAAGCTTCTCTGTACCAAACTTTCGGGATTGTTTGAACACTTGTGAAGCACTTGCTCTATCATACGATATGATTTATACATTTTTTACATCTTCTCTGCCGCTGCAGGATTAGGAAACATTCCAAGGCGGTTTTGATCAATCCACAATCGCCAAGACTAGATTCTACATTACCGCTCGTAATTTTTTTAAAGCCACCACACTCAGCAGGAGTTTGCCAAACTTGCGTTGCATCGATATATCTTGCCTTAGAGTGGACGAATTCTGAATCCAAAAGTATATTCAACTCAGCTCGATGAGGTGCATCTTTTGATATACAGAAGTGCCTGTTTAGATACGATAGTCGGTCAAATTTTAAGAACACTCCCAAACTTACGCCTACGTAGGTTGATTGTTGTGCAAACCTACCGTGAGCAAGAATCTGGAAAAGTTTTGTCTTTCTTCAAATCTTTGACCGACTGTCGTGCCCAAACAGGCATTTTGCAACAAATGTGAAAAATGCTTTCTTCAAATTGAGTTGAATGGTGCTTTTTGATTTAGAGTTTCCCCACTCTGAAGCAAGATATGACGAGCAACGCGAATTTCGGCGAACAGCGGCGGAGTGCGGTGGTTTTTTCACAAATTTCGATGATTTACTGTAGTTGAACTCCGTAGCTGGCAAACGAAACTTCGTGCGATGATATCATGACATAACGCAGGCGTAATTTCCGCTTCCAGTATATTCACTTGAATACAAATATAACGATGTAAAAAGCATAAAGCTGTGTTGCTTTCGTCGAATACCCAAGTCCTTCAGTGATGGTTCAATTAAGATCAATCCCTAATTGCACAAGTTTATTCGCGCTAGAGCATACTATCAGAATCAATTGTAATTTCTCCATAGTCTACTACTTAGAGTTAGCAGCAATAGCAAATCAACGCGTCTGTTTCGCTATAAAAACGGAATAGAATATTCCGATGAAGACATCTCCAAGAATCCAAGAGTGTCCTGAAAGCAATTTGTTGAGAGCGCAGCTATGGACAAAAAATCAAACCAACCATTTGGTGCAGGGATATCAAGACCCATGAATCCAGACAGGCACGTAGTTTGACCGTTTTGGCTTACCTAAACTAGTTTTCTATGCCAAAGCAAAAAATTTGTCTTTTTCTGAGCTGAAGGATGTAATCAGATCCCTGAAGCACGAAATCTTTACCGCCGAGGGTGAAAGTGATATTGGGAAATTTTGGGATGCGGCTGCATTGAATCTCATATTCACCGTTGACGACTGGGAAAGCTCCAATTTTCTTTTGGATCTGTGGAGTGCAATAGAGTTTTGAAAAAACATTGTATATGCATATGATTATACCTTCTTGATCGCGGTCTGTGGGCCAGTGGAAAAGCGATGTACCAGTGTCAACGATGGAGTCAACTGGTCCGTTGGTGTATGTGGTCCCGTCGATTGTGACGGCTCAAGCTTGATGCGCCAATAGTCTTCAGACACGAGTGGCTCCCAGGCGATGGAACCCTATAATTTCACATTGGAGAGCCTTGTTAGCTCTACAAATAGTGCATCACAAACCTTGTAATGAGCAGGATTAGTCCCACATAATGTCATCTCTTCTCCTGCAACATTATTGTTGATATCGCGGGTTTAGCCAGAAAGCAAAAAGAGCCTCGGAGCAAAGAGCCTGTAATTATGAAGATTGACACTGAAGATGAACTCTTGGCCGCATTATTTAGACGAAACAATCGGCTGCCATGTACTATCAAGCCATCATTTGTAACCTTTGATTCAATTGGCTTGGCGGCTGGAACGTGAGGCTTTCTGACCTAATTGAGGCGGCTCGCGCCCGCGACACAGTCTGCGTCTCTCCATCGCGTGCTCTCTGATCATTACCTAGCCTTAATTAGGTCACGAAGCCCCGCCTTCCAGCCGCCAAGCCAATTGAATCAAAAGGTACTTTCGCGGCTAAATTCGCATGGCGGAGACAAAGTGAAAGCAGGATTTCCATGAATCATTGCTGAAAGCTACCAAAGTTTTAACAAACGTTTGAAACTGTTTTGCTTTTATAAGACGGACCCCCTAAACAGCTATCGAACCTTTCACATGCTCTCGCACCTCACCGGAAATGATTTTGAAAAAAAACATATCAAAACTGGCTGCAAATGTGTTAACTTTTACCTTGACACGTGGCTAGGTGAGAGTACTCACAAGAGCAATGAAAAAAATTTCTAGGCTAACATTTGAAAAATGATGGTCCGGATAACGGAAAAGTAGCGAAAAAACTTCACTTGTACCTACGTTGTGAAAAGACCAGACAAAATTCCTTCTTTTGACTTTCCTCTAGGAACTTTTTGCACTTTTTCTTCTTTAACATGCACCCTTTCAAGTTCTTCAATGACAGGAGGAAAGTGATTGATCACTGTGCATAACGCTTGCTCTGATGATCCATGGCTTTCGATAGTTGTATCCGAAATATCAAGGAATTTGATAAATGATCACACTGTAGGATCCGTTGTGCGAAGATTTTTTTGCAAAGCTCCAAAAAGACGTGAAACTTTTTTTGCGCTGTTTTTTATGAATCCGAAAAAAGGATAACTGGCATTAACGCACATTACGATAGAATTAGGTGTGATAGTGGATTCAAAGCGCCAACAAAAATGGCAGTCAAAAGGATAAAAAAAAGAATAAAATTGTACCTCAGATCCGATCCACTGGTGGCGAATTCGCGAGCCTGGTGATAGAAAACGATTATACTTCCTTTTTGTGCTTAGTCTCACAGCGGGAAACGAATTCTTGAATTTGATATATAGTTCCTGGAATCATATAGTTCGAAGTTTCCTAAGGCACGATAATTTTAAGAAAATTTTGAGTTAGTCTGCCAGAAACTCGAGATAATAAGCGAAAAATTTATCAAATAAAAGGGAGCATCTTAAGAAGATTTTCGAGCAAAAAAATGTATAAACTGTAAGATCCTTAAAAATATTTTTTTTACCTCATATGGGTCTATTATCAAGAGGGGGTTGATCACGGATAAATTCGTAAACACCAAAGTTCTCGATAGCAATATCCAAAGAATGTTCTCCTGCAGCAGCCCTGAACAAGTTTTGTAAAAGTTCAGGCTCAAAAAGTTCTCTACCATGATATATTTGTTGTGTGGGAAGTATTGAATTTGAGCATTTCCGTGGGACCGAAAGTGAGTAGTTGCCTTCAGCCAGATTTCGTTTGTAGTCAAAGTAGAAGGTACGAGTAAGTACAGGGTATTCATCATCTGCAAAAAAATTATAATTCTCAGAAAATAGCTTCTTTTCGATATTCTTACAAAATTGTGTGTCATAATTTCAGATGAAGAAGATTCCTGGTTGATGGTTTGAAATTTGGGGCTGAACATTAGCTTGTCATGTAATTTCATTTCTACTTGTACGCTAAAATCGATAATTCTCAGATACTGAGGCACGTAGGCAGTCCAAAATATTTTGTAGCTAAAAGCTTCTTCGACATGTTGTGTAGGTTGTCCAAAAATTTTGTCGGTTTCTCCAAACGAATATAAAACCAGATATAATGTAAACCCAAATGAGTTCTAAAATGCTTTCGATGCAGGTTTTCCTTCTATTTTTTATGGCTAAATTTCCGATCCATTACCTTTTTAGGCTTCTTGATAATAGCCAAAATTCCTCATCCATCACTTCTACAATACCGCTCACATTTTTTTGAAAAAAAGACGCGAATGTATGGACATGTATGGACATGTACGGACATGTCCATACATGTACGGGACATGTCCATACATGTACGGACATGTCCGTACATGTCCGTACATGTCCATACATGTATGGACATGTCCATACATCAGCGTCGCGTAGCCATATCTCGCTTCAGAGTGGACGAATTCTGAATCCAAAGCCACCATTTCGATTCAGCTCGGCGCGGAGAATCTTCTGATATATTGGAAGTGGGGTACGATGTCTACTATATTCCGTTTCCAGATTTTTCAAATTGTTCTGCGGAGGTCCTTTTGCGATACATGAAGCAACGCCTACCCAGCATAGAAGACTTTGCTAAGTACTATTCGATAATAGTGTTCTTTTAGATTATTGTCCGTTACAAAATAGGCTCAGACTTCTTTCCAAAGGAGATAGAAGCGTTGGTGAACCTTGGAAAAATCACCGCGTTTTTAAATTCTACTCGCCATAACTTCCTTCGGAATAAGTATATTTTGAATCCAAAAACAGCGCCTTGCTCAGCTCATCAAGGCGAATCTTCCTATTACACAGCATGTCCTAGATATTTCGATTTCAGTATTCTTGAATCTTTCTGAGGACGTCTTTTCGCGAAGGTTGTAAAGCAGCGAGCATTGCCTCGAGCAAAATCCAGCAAGGACCTTTCGACAGTACTTTTCCTGTAGATTATAATATGCTAAATAGTAGCCGCAGATTTCTTTTTAAAGGAAATAGAACGGCTAGTGAATTGTGGAAAAATCTTGTCGTCCCAAGTTCTACTCTCCATAGCCCTAGAATACGAAGCTATCTCGCTAAACAGATGTGAGTTTCGAAATCAGCAGGCCGGATAACCTCCGTGAGCAAGTTTTCCGACATGTTCGGTTATTTCATTTTTTTCTCGTTTTAGGCTCCGGAAGCTTGCCGATGGATTTTGGTCAAAATGTTGATGCTCGTGAATTGTAAGGAAACTTCGCTTATAGAGGTTTTCGAATACGCTCTTTACGAAAATCGTGGTCTTTGAGGATTACAGGGTCTTTTTGGAGAGATACGGTGAGGTGATTGTAACTGCGTCACGAAAGTGCGTAACTTTGCCCGCTTTTTCTCGCGTATCTGTCAGAAACCTTGCCTGCTTGCTTTTCTCAGTCAAAGTTACTAGAAATTGTGCTATCGAATGGTGCATTACTCAGGCTCCAGTCTGTGAAATTCGCCGAGTTACGAGCCTACGAAAACACGTTCTCATGATTTTTGCCCAAAATGTAAAGATCGCATATCTCGTCGAAATTCCTCCATGAGCGCTTGTACAACGCGCTGATCAAATCCTTTCACATTTTTATTTATTTATTTATTTATTCTATACACTCTTGGCAGTGGCGTACCCAGGATTTCCGCTCGGGGAGGGCGCGACAAAATTTTTTTTCAAATGAAGGTGCGCGGCGTTAGCCATGCACTCCGAAAAAATTTTTGAGGTGCTTCTAAGAATATTTTGCGGGTCCCGACCCCTAAAATCTGGAAAAAAGGGGCGTGGCCTGAGCCACTGCCCCCGAAAAATTTTTTTATATAGGGCTAATTTGAATTTTTGGAAAATTTTAAAAAATTATTCTAATTATTTACAAAAACAAACAAGTCACTTGCACATTTTATAACCCATATAAGTAACTTTCAAAAATTTCGCGACCCATTCTCGGGGGGGGGGGCGCCCCCCTCCCCCCCCCCCCCCCGCGCCCCCCCCCCCCTCCCCTCGGTACGCCACTGCCTCTTGGCGTTCCATACAATAGAACAGAAAGCAGTCATTTATACTCTAACCGCAACGATAGTGCATCATTTAGGTCTAATCTTGATAAAAATGTGATGAAAGCTTGTATTTGACTGCTCTATGATTATAATTATCGGAATTAAATGATGCAATTCATGGAGATGTACCCATGCCCCCTTTTGCCAGCAAAATATTTTGATTTTAAACAAGCAAACAAGTTTGATGGTGGGTATATTATCCGAGCCCACCAAACCAGTAAACCAGTGTGAGCCACTGACTCCAAGTGAATTTCAATAAGGGTTGTAATGATGGATAACTCATACATGAGGGTGATCAAGTTAGGCTATTGTAATCTATGGAGATGGCAATCATGCCAACTCATTTGCCAGCAGAAGATGCTCTTGCAATAATGAAGCAAAGCGGGGCTCGGTTGGTGCAGTAATACCAATCAACCCTGCCCAAATGATTCCAGGGACAGTCCAATGACTCCGAAAGAACATCAAATAGTTTCACTTTTTGTAATTCATTTAAGAGCAAGTCAACAAGCTGTAATGATTGGGAAGAGAAGTAAATTGATTAGACCTGAATTAACGTAATAGCAAGAAATGGGTTAGTAAGACATTTGAAAGAAAATATTATTTAAAAAAACAAATTGATGGTTGTATTTGGTATGCATTTTGTAGGTCGGATAATGTAATCGCACATAGCTATAGCAATACAGATGACGGATTGGTGCTATTCATTACTCATTCTCCGAATGCCTCAAACGTAAGAAATCAAGTGTGTTGATTCTGCGTTTGAAAACATTCGTGCTCTGAGATTGTAAAGTATCTGAAATCTTTTAATGAATCTTATTGTGTTAGATTTGGTGCTTTGAGTTCTAGCCACGAAATAAATTTGATATTCAACTGAGCAATTGAAGCAGACGCAAGCACCATATTCAGTACAGTGGGAGTCGTTCGACGAAGCGAACATAATATCTGCAACAAGCGTCTACAAGCACTCACGGAGGAATTTCGACGATATGCGATCTTTACATTTCGGGCAAAATCATGAGAACATGTTTTCGTAGGCTCGTAACTCGGGCGAATTTCACAGACTGGAGCCTGAGTAATGCACCATTCGATAGCACAATTTCTAGTAACTTTGACTGAGAAAAGCAAGCAGGCAAGGTTTCTGACAGATACGCGAGAAAAGCGGGCAAAGTTACGCACTTTCGTGACGCAGTTACAATCACCTCACCGTATCTCTCCAAAAAGACCCTGTAATCCTCAAAGACCACGATTTTCGTAAAGAGCGTATTCGAAAACCTCTATAAGCGAAGTTTCCTTACAATTCACGAGCATCAACATTTTGACCAAAATCCATCGGCAAGCTTCCGGAGCCTAAAACGAGAAAAAAATGAAATAACCCGAACATGTCGGAAAACTTGCTCACGGAGGTTATCCGGCCTGCTGATTTCGAAACTCACATCTGTTTAGCGAGATAGCTTCGTATTCTAGGGCTATGGAGAGTAGAACTTGGGACGACAAGATTTTTCCACAATTCACTAGCCGTTCTATTTCCTTTAAAAAGAAATCTGCGGCTACTATTTAGCATATTATAATCTACAGGAAAAGTACTGTCGAAAGGTCCTTGCTGGATTTTGCTCGAGGCAATGCTCGCTGCTTTACACCTTCGCGAAAAGACGTCCTCAGAAAGATTCAAGAATACTGAAATCGAAATATCAAGGACATGCTGTGTATAGGAAGATTCGCCTTGATGAGCTGAGCAAGGCGCTGTTTTTGGATTCAAAATATACTTATTCCGAAGGAAGTTATGGCGAGTAGAATTTAAAAACGCGTGATTTTTCCAAGGTTCACCAACGCTTCTATCTCCTTTGGGAAAGAAGTCTGAGCCTATTTTGTAGCGGACAATAATCTAAAAAGAACACTATTATCGAATAGTACTTAGCAAAGTCTTCTATGCTTGGTATCGTTAGCTTTATCTTTTTTTGCTTATGTTTTGCCACCATTGGATTTCCGTTCATAATCTTTTTTTTCTGCAATAATCACCCCACTCTCAGCAGTTTTAGTTTTCTCCTACACGTACAGATATATAGGTTGTCCTGAAAGTTTTAGGTTTTTTCATCGTTCACTGAAACTCTCAGAACACCGTTTGATGGACGACTTGGAAATTGTCGAATTCAGATACTATTATCCTATATCTTATGGCTATATATCTCTCTTTGACCTATACTGTCTTTGCGATGTTATCGCCTTGGATCTTTGAGCAGCTCACTGGTAACGTCAGATCTTTCCAGAATTTTAGGAATTCTGTTCCTAGTTTTTTTTTTTCGAGCAGCGCTGGTAACTGTCATGTAAAGTAAACCTGACTACATTTCACTCGTTTCAGATCGCATACTTCACGTTTATCAAGTCTGTAATAATTATTTACTTGAATAACCGCGACTTTCTAAACACGTTTAACGCACAGCAGTACCGAAAATTTCAAAAAACTGTTTTCTTCAGAGCAAACTGATTATGTCGCGCAAATAATGCTTATTGATCAAGTTTCAACTCCTAAAAACTTCGGAAGCTTTCATATTTCTACTGCAATTGCGTGTTCCATGGACTTTACCAAAAATCGAGAGAACTCCGGAAAAATTAATTCTTTCAAGGCTAAACACAGAAAACAGGAAAATCTCAAAGCACCACCTTATAGTCCGAGTCTACGCTACCTAAATCATAGTTAATCCTTTTCCTAACTCTGGATTACAAATTAAAAACGCCGAACTTTGAACAGGTACAATACCGCTCACATTTTTTGAAAAAAAGACGCGAATGTATGGACATGTATGGACATGTCCATACATCAGCGTCGCGTAGCCATATCTCGCTTCAGAGTGGACGAATTCTGAATCCAAAGCCACCATTCGATTCAGCTCGGCGCGGAGAATCTTCTGATATATTGGAAGTGGGGTACGATGTCTACTATATTCCGTTTTCCAGATTTTTCAAATTGTTCTGCGGAGGTCCTTTTGCGAATACATGAAGCAACGCCTACCCAGCATAGAAGACTTTGCTAAGTACTATTCGATAATAGTGTTCTTTTAGATTATTGTCCGCTACAAAATAGGCTCAGACTTCTTTCCAAAGGAGATAGAAGCGTTGGTGAACCTTGGAAAAATCACGCGTTTTTAAATTCTACTCGCCATAACTTCCTTCGGAATAAGTATATTTTGAATCCAAAAACAGCGCCTTGCTCAGCTCATCAAGGCGAATCTTCCTATACACAGCATGTCCTTGATATTTCGATTTCAGTATTCTTGAATCTTTCTGAGGACGTCTTTTCGCGAAGGTGTAAAGCAGCGAGCATTGCCTCGAGCAAAATCCAGCAAGGACCTTTCGACAGTACTTTTCCTGTAGATTATAATATGCTAAATAGTAGCCGCAGATTTCTTTTTAAAGGAAATAGAACGGCTAGTGAATTGTGGAAAAATCTTGTCGTCCCAAGTTCTACTCTCCATAGCCCTAGAATACGAAGCTATCTCGCTAAAACAGATGTGAGTTTCGAAATCAGCAGGCCCGGATAACCTCCGTGAGCAAGTTTTCCGACATGTTCGGGTTATTTCATTTTTTCTCGTTTTAGGCTCCGGAAGCTTGCCGATGGATTTTGGTCAAAATGTTGATGCTCGTGAATTGTAAGGAAACTTCGCTATAGAGGTTTTCGAATACGCTCTTTACGAAAATCGTGGTCTTTGAGGATTACAGGGTCTTTTTGGAGAGATACGGTGAGGTGATTGTAACTGCGTCACGAAAGTGCGTAACTTTGCCCGCTTTTCTCGCGTATCTGTCAGAAACCTTGCCTGCTTGCTTTTCTCAGTCAAAGTTTACTAGAAATTGTGCTATCGAATGGTGCATTACTCAGGCTCCAGTCTGTGAAATTCGCCGAGTTACGAGCCTACGAAAACATGTTCTCATGATTTTGCCCGAAATGTAAAGATCGCATATCGTCGGAAATTCCTCCGTGAGTGCTTGTAGACGCTTGTTGCAGATATTATGTTCGCTTCGTCGAACGACCTCCCACTGTACTGATATGGTGCTTGCGTCTGCTTCAATTGCTCAGTTGAATATCAAATTTATTTCGTGGCTAGAACTCAAAGCACCAAATCTAACACAATAAGATTCATTAAAAGATTTCAGATACTTTACAATCTCAGAGCACGAATGTTTTCAAACGCAGAATCAACACACTTGATTTCTTACGTTTGAGGCATTCGGAGAATGAGTAATGAATAGCACCAATCCGTCATCTGTATTGCTATAGCTATGTGCGATTACATTATCCGACCACAAAATGCATACCAAATACAACCATCAATTTGTTTTTTTAAATAATATTTTCTTTCAAATGTCTTACTAACCCATTTCTTGCTATTACGTTAATTCAGGTCTAATCAATTTACTTCTCTTCCCAATCATTACAGCTTGTTGACTTGCTCTTAAATGAATTACAAAAAGTGAAACTATTTGATGTTCTTTCGGAGTCATTGGACTGTCCCTGGAATCATTTGGGCAGGGTTGATTGGTATTACTGCACCAACCGAGCCCCGCTTTGCTTCATTATTGCAAGAGCATCTTCTGCTGGCAAATGAGTTTGGCATGATTGCCATCTCCATAGATTACAATAGCCTAACTTGATCACCCTCATGTATGAGTTATCCATCATTACAACCCTTATTGAAATTCACTTGGAGTCAGTGGCTCACACTGGTTTACTGGTTGGTGGGCTCGGATAATATACCCACCATCAAACTTGTTTGCTTGTTAAAATCAAAATATTTTGCTGGCAAAAGGGGGCATGGGTACATCTCCATGAATTGCATCATTTAATTCCGATAATTATAATCATAGAGCAGTCAAATACAAGCTTTCATCACATTTTTATCAAGATTAGACCTAAATGATGCACTATCGTTGCGGTTAGAGTATAAATGACTGCTTTCTGTTCTATTGTATGGAACGCCAAGAGGCAGTGGCGTACCGAGGGGAGGGGGGGGGGGGGCGGGGCGGGGGGGGGGGGGGGCGGGGGGGGCGGGAGGGGCGCCCCCCCCCCGAGAATGGGTCGCGAAATTTTTGAAAGTTACTTATATGGGTTATAAAAATGTGCAAGTGACTTGTTTGTTTTTGTAAATAATTAGAATAATTTTTTAAAATTTTCAAAAATTCAAATTAGCCCTATATAAAAAAATTTTTCGGGGGCGTGGCTCAGGCCACGCCCCTTTTTCCCAGATTTTAGGGGTCGGGACCCGCAAAAATTCTTAGAAGCACCTCAAAAATTTTTTTCGGAGTGCATGGCTAACGCCGCGCACCTTCATTTGAAAAAAAATTTTGTCGCGCCCCTCCCCGAGCGGAAATCCTGGGTACGCCACTGCCAAGAGTGTATAGAATAAATAAATAAATAAATAAAAATGTGAAAGGATTTGATCAGCGCGTTGTACAAGCGCTCATGGAGGAATTTCGACGAGATATGCGATCTTTACATTTTGGGCAAAATTCATGAGAACGTGTTTTCGTAGGCTCGTAACTCGGCGAATTTCACAGACTGGAGCCTGAGTAATGCACCATTCGATAGCACAATTTCTAGTAACTTTGACTGAGAAAAGCAAGCAGGCAAGGTTTCTGACAGATACGCGAGAAAAGCGGGCAAAGTTACGCACTTTCGTGACGCAGTTACAATCACCTCACCGTATCTCTCCAAAAAGACCCTGTAATCCTCAAAGACCACGATTTTCGTAAAGAGCGTATTCGAAAACCTCTATAAGCGAAGTTTCCTTACAATTCACGAGCATCAACATTTTGACCAAAATCCATCGGCAAGCTTCCGGAGCCTAAAACGAGAAAAAATGAAATAACCCGAACATGTCGGAAAACTTGCTCACGGAGGTTATCCGGCCTGCTGATTTCGAAACTCACATCTGTTTAGCGAGATAGCTTCGTATTCTAGGGCTATGGAGAGTAGAACTTGGGACGACAAGATTTTTCCACAATTCACTAGCCGTTCTATTTCCTTTAAAAAGAAATCTGCGGCTACTATTTAGCATATTATAATCTACAGGAAAAGTACTGTCGAAAGGTCCTTGCTGGATTTTGCTCGAGGCAATGCTCGCTGCTTTACACCTTCGCGAAAAGACGTCCTCAGAAAGATTCAAGAATACTGAAATCGAAATATCAAGGACATGCTGTGTATAGGAAGATTCGCCTTGATGAGCTGAGCAAGGCGCTGTTTTTGGATTCAAAATATACTTATTCCGAAGGAAGTTATGGCGAGTAGAATTTAAAAACGCGTGATTTTTCCAAGGTTCACCAACGCTTCTATCTCCTTTGGAAAGAAGTCTGAGCCTATTTTGTAACGGACAATAATCTAAAAGAACACTATTATCGAATAGTACTTAGCAAAGTCTTCTATGCTGGGTAGGCGTTGCTTCATGTATTCGCAAAAGGACCTCCGCAGAACAATTTGAAAAATCTGGAAACGGAATATAGTAGACATCGTACCCCACTTCCAATATATCAGAAGATTCTCCGCGCCGAGCTGAATCGAATGGTGGCTTTGGATTCAGAATTCGTCCACTCTGAAGCGAGATATGGCTACGCGACGCTGATGTATGGACATGTCCATACATGTATGGACATGTACGGACATGTACGGACATGTCCGTACATGTATGGACATGTCCGTACATGTATGGACATGTCCGTACATGTCCATACATGTCCATACATTCGCGTCTTTTTTTCAAAAAATGTGAGCGGTATTGTAGAAGTGATGGATGAGGAATTTTGGCTATTATCAAGAAGCCTAAAAAGGTAATGGATCGGAAATTTAGCCATAAAAAATAGAAGGAAAACCTGCATCGAAAGCATTTTAGAACTCATTTGGGTTTACATTATATCTGGTTTTATATTCGTTTGGAGAAACCGACAAAATTTTTGGGACAACCTACACAACATGTCGAAGAAGCTTTTAGCTACAAATATTTTGGACTGCCTACGTGCCTCAGTATCTGAGAATTATCGATTTTAGCGTACAAGTAGAAATGAAATTACATGACAAGCTAATGTTCAGCCCAAATTTCAAACCATCAACCAGGAATCTTCTTCATCTGAAAATTATGACACACAATTTTGTAAGAATATCGAAAAGAAGCTATTTTCTGAGAATTATAATTTTTTTGCAGATGATGAATACCCTGTACTACTCGTACCTTCTACTTTGACTACAAAACGAAATCTGGCTGAAGGCAACTACTCACTTCGGTCCACGGAAATGCTCAAATTCAATACTTCCCACACAACAATATATCATGGTAGAGAACTTTTTGAGCCTGAACTTTTACAAAACTTGTTCAGGGCTGCTGCAGGAGAACATTCTTTGGATATTGCTATCGAGAACTTTGGTGTTTACGAATTTATCCGTGATCAACCCCTCTTGATAATAGACCATATGAGGTAAAAAAAATATTTTTAAGGATCTTACAGTTTATACATTTTTTGCTCGAAAATCTTCTTAAGATGCTCCCTTTTATTTGATAAATTTTTCGCTTATTATCTCGAGTTTCTGGCAGACTAACTCAAAATTTTCTTAAAATTATCGTGCCTTAGGAAACTTCGAACTATATGATTCCAGGAACTATATATCAAATTCAAGAATTCGTTTCCCGCTGTGAGACTAAGCACAAAAAGGAAGTATAATCGTTTCTATCACCAGGCTCGCGAATTCGCCACCAGTGGATCGGATCTGAGGTACAATTTTATTCTTTTTTTTATCCTTTTGACTGCCATTTTGTTGGCGCTTTGAATCCACTATCACACCTAATTCTATCGTAATGTGCGTTAATGCCAGTTATCCTTTTTTCGGATTCATAAAAAACAGCGCAAAAAAAGTTTCACGTCTTTTTGGAGCTTTGCAAAAAAATCTTCGCACAACGGATCCTACAGTGTGATCATTTATCAAATTCCTTGATATTTCGGATACAACTATCGAAAGCCATGGATCATCAGAGCAAGCGTTATGCACAGTGATCATCACTTTCCTCCTGTCATTGAAGAACTTGAAAGGGTGCATGTTAAAGAAGAAAAAGTGCAAAAAGTTCCTAGAGGAAAGTCAAAAGAAGGAATTTTGTCTGGTCTTTTCACAACGTAGGTACAAGTGAAGTTTTTTCGCTACTTTTCCGTTATCCGGACCATCATTTTTCAAAATGTTAGCCTAGAAATTTTTTTCATTGCTCTTGTGAGTACTCTCACCTAGCCACGTGTCAAGGTAAAAGTTAACACATTTGCAGCCAGTTTGATATGTTTTTTTTCAAAATCATTTCCGGTGAGGTGCGAGAGCATGTGAAAGGTTCGATAGCTGTTTAGGGGGTCCGTCTTATAAAAGCAAAACAGTTTCAAACGTTTGTTAAAACTTTGGTAGCTTTCAGCAATGATTCATGGAAATCCTGCTTTTCACTTTGTCTCCGCCATGCGAATTTAGCCGCGAAAGTACCTTTTGATTCAATTGGCTTGGCGGCTGGAAGGCGGGGCTTCGTGACCTAATTAAGGCTAGGTAATGATCAGAGAGCACGCGATGGAGAGACGCAGACTGTGTCGCGGGCGCGAGCCGCCTCAATTAGGTCAGAAAGCCTCACGTTCCAGCCGCCAAGCCAATTGAATCAAAGGTTACAAATGATGGCTTGAAGTACATGGCAGCCGATTGTTTCGTCTAAATAATGCGGCCAAGAGTTCATCTTCAGTGTCAATCTTCATAATTACAGGCTCTTTGCTCCGAGGCTCTTTTTGCTTTCTGGCTAAACCGCGATATCAACAATAATGTTGCAGGAGAAGAGATGACATTATGTGGGACTAATCCTGCTCATTACAAGGTTTGTGATGCACTATTTGTAGAGCTAACAAGGCTCTCCAATGTGAAATTATAGGGTTCCATCGCCTGGGAGCCACTCGTGTCTGAAGACTATTGGCGCATCAAGCTTGGAGCCGTCACAATCGACGGGACCACATACACCAACGGACCAGTTGACTCCATCGTTGACACTGGTACATCGCTTTTCACTGGGCCCACAGACGCGATCAAGAAGGTATAATCATATGCATATACATGTTTTTTCAAAACTCTATTGCACTCCACAGATCCAAAAGAAAATTGGAGCTTTCCCAGTCGTCAACGGTGAATATGAGATTCAATGCAGCCGCATCCCAAAATTTCCCAATATCACTTTCACCCTCGGCGGTAAAGATTTCGTGCTTCAGGGATCTGATTACATCCTTCAGCTCAGAAAAAGACAAATTTTTGCTTTGGCATAGAAAACTAGTTTAGGTAAGCCAAAACGGTCAAACTACGTGCCTGTCTGGATTCATGGGTCTTGATATCCCTGCACCAAATGGTTGGTTTGATTTTTTGTCCATAGCTGCGCTCTCAACAAATTGCTTTCAGGACACCTTTGGATTCTTGGAGATGTCTTCATCGGAATATTCTATTCCGTTTTTATAGCGAAACAGACGCGTTGATTTGCTATTGCTGCTAACTCTAAGTAGTAGACTATGGAGAAATTACAATTGATTCTGATAGTATGCTCTAGCGCGAATAAACTTGTGCAATTAGGGATTGATCTTAATTGAACCATCACTGAAGGACTTGGGTATTCGACGAAAGCAACACAGCTTTTATGCTTTTTACATCGTTATATTTGTATTCAAGTGAATATACTGGAAGCGGAAATTACGCCTGCGTTATGTCATGATATCATCGCCCGAAGTTTCGTTTGCCAGCTACGGAGTTCAACTACAGTAAATCTCGAAATTTGTGAAAAAACCACCGCACTCCGCCGCTGTTCGCCGAAATTCGCGTTGCTCGTCATATCTTGCTTCAGAGTGGGGAAACTCTAAATCAAAAAGCACCATTCAACTCAATTTGAAGAAAGCATTTTACACATTTGTTGCAAAATGCCTGTTTGGGCACGACAGTCGGTCAAAGATTTGAAAGACTTTTCCAGATTCTTGCTCACGGTAGGTTTGCACAACAATCAACCTACGTAGGCGTAAGTTTGGGAGTGTTCTTAAAATTTGACCGACTATCGTATCTAAACAGGCACTTCTGTATATCAAAAGATGCACCTCATCGAGCTGAGTTGAATATACTTTTGGATTCAGAATTCGTCCACTCTAAGGCAAGATATATCGATGCAACGCAAGTTTGGCAAACTCCTGCTGAGTGTGGTGGCTTTAAAAAATTACGAGCGGTAATGTAGAATCTAGTCTTGGCGATTGTGGATTGATCAAAACCGCCTTGGAATGTTTCCTAATCCTGCAGCGGCAGAGAAGATGTAAAAATGTATAAATCATATCGTATGATAGAGCAAGTGCTTCACAAGTGTTCAAACAATCCCGAAAGTTTGGTACAGAGAAGCTTATAATAAAAGTCTGAAGAATTTTGAACCCCAAAAATCAGTTCTGTTTAAAAATTCTCCAATCCGATAGCTTGCCAAAATTTATCGCTACAGCTATTCATACTAGTATTTCAGTGAAGTAGACAATGACAACAAAGGCTCTGAAGGGGCAGAGGAAGGGGGAAAGGAAGAAGCCAAAAAACCCGATAATTTTGGTAGTGATGACATTTCACCTGTCCAAGACTGGTCAAAGCCCATCTAAAGTTTTTTACATGTTTAATCCGTGGCTGTTTTTCTTACAGAACTGCAATTAAAATGAACGACGAAAAACGTTCCGTTTCTTTAAGCTAAGGTTTCACTCACGTTATTCCGAAGATGTTGCGGAGAGCTGCTAGGTCTTGTTCGTAGCGTTTTCATGAACTAACACAATGACAAAATTCTGTCATATTCGGTCAATAATGATGTCGGCCACACATGCCGCTCCCCCTTTCACGGAAAATAAATAGCAAAGGTTTGGTTTTCGTGCTGCTGTTTTCTTTTGACTTTATATGTCATTCTCTTTGTGCCGTGTGGGTCGCTTCTAATACTTCGAGCGGCTTTGTTGCGAGTAAAAATAGCTTCGAGAAAGTTTCGTAATTTTATTGATGGAAAGCGAAACATGAAGATAGTTAGTTTTATTGACAGAAAAATATAATACATGCTATGAGATTCTTGAGATTATGGAGCACAAAGGAGATGGCCACTGATTATAGATCAAATGATGGTCTGGTAAGTGCTCCTATTTTAGCAGATTTTAGATCAAAACTATTTCCTATTAGAGTATAAGTCAGCGACTTGTGCTGGGATGCAAAATCAATATGCAATATCTTGTGATTGACTCTACTTTCATTTTGTATCATCACAGAATGATACAAAATGAAAGTAGAGTCAATCACAAGATATTTTGAATAAGCAGGCAGGCACGATCACAGAATGGAGTAGTCACTTCATTGCTCTTCTTCTTTCGAATCAGCAGAATTCACATCTTCTTGAGAGCCGTTCTTCCTGTCCACTAGAGGTCTTCTTGTTTTCCTCTTCGGCAATACGTCTCTGAAGAAGAGATCATACACCTAGTCGTATGAATCCAGATTTTCCACACGCCAACTTACCTGTAATCCGTATTTTCCCGAGATTTTTCCACAACACGGAAGTTGTAGCGATGTTGCGAGGTCGCAACCCTTGAAATCACAACTTTGATAGAATTGTTAGCTACTGCAGTCTAGATTTATCAAGCTAACTACCATTAATGACAACAATAAGTTTTATACATTGTACTGAAGTAAAAGAAAAGCCTATGATTGAAGTGACGGGCATCATCTATGTTGTGCTACTGCGATGGCGACAACAATTACGCGTAAAATCAATTACAGTCTGGTAGATTTTTAGCTGACTGAAGTGCAAAACTTGCGCGTGAACAAGTAGCTAGGTTAAAATGCGTGCAAGCTGCGCGTGTAAATTTGTAAGCAGCTAAATGTTAATGCGCATTTTTTCCCTTTTGCTCGGCACCGCAAGCACACTATTTCTCGAAAAATCTTCTTGACTGCATTAGGATGTATGCTCGGTTCGTTCACACTTTTTGAAGAATTGTTTTAGAAACCTTTCACTTTTTAAGAGTATTTGTTTGCATTTTGAAGCTTTTCTTTTTCTCCTTTAAATAATTTGCTCCAATTGTAGAAAATTTCATCATGTTGTGCCGCATTGGAGGTTGTTCGTTCTATGAGCGTTCTCTCTCCCCCCCCCCCCTCCCCCCCCAATAAGTCAACTTTCGACTCTTACGGCAAATGGTTCCAAAGAAGGAATTAACTCAAGACTGTTGAGGAGTCCCTGGGGCCAAAAAATACTTTCAAAGGGGGGGGGGGGGGGCATCCATAAAATTTAGAATTCAAAAATCGATTCTTTGAAAAGGAACGAGAATGAGAAGAGTATGAATTTCGAGTATTTGGATGGAAGATACCTCTAGTGACACTCTCATGTGGCAGAAAAGCCGTCGACTCTTATAAAATTTCAAGAATGATATTGGAGGATAAAGGATTGGGTGTCTATAATACACTCTGCGAGCATGTAATCTCACGAGAATGGGAAAAGCTTTGATGAATTTACGATTTAATGTAGGGACTCTGTTGGACTTTATAATTTTCGAAAGCGGCCTTGTTGGAATTTTGAAAAAAAAATGGACTCTACTTACATCAAGGTCAACTTTCTTTTGACTCAAAAATTGAGGCCTACATCAGAACACAACATAGGTGGCAGAAAGAGTGAAGTCACCAAAAAATTGCGTCGCTAGCAAATGTGGCATCAAACGATTTCTAAAAAGATGCAAGTAACTTGACAATGAGTGTTTTATTTATTTTATTTTATTTTATATACCTTGATTATACTGAGCATTATTAAGTATTATTATTATTGAGTATACCTTGATGAGTGATCAACTTGTGTTCTTTTTTTTATGAAGTTCTTTGATTGAGTTTCATCAGTGGTAAACAAGAAAGCACACAAGCAAAGAAAGACGTCGTGAATAAAGTCATTTCTTTTTTTAATTTCTAGCCAAAATTCTTTCTCTCTCCAAAGCGTAACCTCTAGAAGCATATTTATGCTTTACCGAATAAGGGACAAAAGAAAGAATCGAAAAATGCCAACGACCTTACTTATTCAACCTACTTCAAAAAGAAAAATAAAAAAACTAGCTCGAATCCATAGCGAAAATGTGAAGGACACGAAGAGATGACTCGTAACGATTGACTGTCCCGCTCTAAAATCTCGCGCCACAAGAATTTTGACCTCCAATTGCTCAACGAGAAATCCCAAAAGCCATGACCAACAGAAACTCAAAACATACTCAGCTCTAATGCTGCTATCTATTTCATTCTATCATGTTATAGATACTCAAAAATTACATCAAAAACCAACTCTAACTTGAACGAAAATTATCAGCTTCTCTAATTTCACCGTAACTATACATTCAACTATTGATCACGCGCTTTGCCAATTTGTCATCATAGGTCTTGCTATTCAATTACCGAAATTTATTTGTTTCTGATTTTCATCATCAGGATTTCGTACTCACCCCGTTAATTCAAATTTTTCTTTGGAGAAGACTCTCTTCCATTTTTTGCTAATGTCCCATTCATTTTGCAATTTTGCTGAAATTTATTGTGGTTATAGGGGTTATACAGCATTTATTTGACCGAAAACCGCAGTAATTTACATTTCTCATCAAAGACATGCTCTTCTAATGTAAATGTTTTCCTTGCAGTCGTCATTCGCTCACGATCAATTACAAGATTTCTTTGATTGATTTTTGGCATTGTTTACCTTTTTGTGCTTATGTTTTGCCACCATTAGATTTCCGTTCATAATCATTTGGGGGGTTTTTTTGCAAAAAACGTCGCTCTACTTTCAGCAATTCTGGTTTTTTCTTACACGCTAGATGTATGAACTATATCTAATTGTAAGAAGCGTTTAGCTACAAATTCTGGACTTACACTCCTTAGAGAATTATCAGTTTTAGCATACAAGTAGGAATGAATTCACATGACATCCTAATCTTCAAACGACGGTCTTCAAACCATAGAACCATAAAATTTGTTATTTTCCCTGCCAGGAGAACTTGCTTGGGTTCGGGGGCTGTTTTTCATAACATTGCATTTCAATACCTCGTCTTTGTTGAAAAGTGCCGCATTCAAAGTGATGCTGAGTCATCGAATGTCATCCAGAACTTTTTGCTATTGAATACTAAGTCGGGAAATAATTTGGTCACGTCTAAGTATTGGAAATGTCAGTGATTCATAAGACATTCTGTGGTGTCATGCGAAGAATGTGACTGTTGATGCTATCATATTGCCGGACGGACGAGATGTCAGTTCTACAGCGGAAATCTACGAGCTGTAGATGTTATGTAGAAGCTGTGCTTTCAGTTCTTCACTTCTGGGAGATTCAGGTGAGGAATTTGATTTTTGGTTTGAATTTGCTCTAGTGCTAGATGCTAAGTGCAAGAAGCTTTGCATTCTGCCGGGTCAGCTCTACAGATTGGTATGAAAATTCCACATTTTCCAAAGCACTGATAACGTGGTCAGCACGACGGCGCCAAAAATCGTCTTTATCGTCTCCAGCCGTTTAATCAATAAAGGTTCCATCCATTCATGCCCGATATAGCTGTAGTGGAGAGCTGAAACTGTATGACTAAGCCTGATTATTTCTCTGCAAATGCTAGCCGCGCCACGTTGACACTCAATTAACTGCCGAAGGTCCGTTCGAACTGTCATTTTTATTTGCATTAACCTCAAAGCACACACACACTCACACACATACACACAGCACAGCACACACACATCGCAATGTGTTGCTGACTCGTAGGCAACCGGTGTTGGCACTTCTTTGAAACTCGTAAATCATCCGATTACTTGGAATTATAATAGCAATGGCTTTTCTTGATTGTTCTTGCCGCGCACCTCATAAAATATTAGGTTGAAACAGAAGTCTTGCACAAAAAATTCCACAACAAATTCTTGTAAGAATAAATAAATAATAACAATCAATTTTACACGCTATGTTTCCGATGTCATTTTATATCGATGTGATAGCGTCAGGCTGACTTTCAAAACTGAGCGCGGCTGTTATCTGAGAACCTTCTTTTTTTTCAATAAAGATTATTTCAGATTTCTGAGTTGTAATCACTTTTTTGCTTTTTGATCAAGTATTATTCGTGTTCTATGATTTGTAAGCGCACTTCTTGTGCAGTTAATATGATATAATAAAAATATAAAAATGCTCAGAGCAGCGTTTCAACCTGTAACGTATTTTTTCATCTTTTATAAAAATGTAGTATTTTCATCGTAAACACTAGAAATTTTGTTTCAAACAAAACTAGAACTCGAAAATAAAAACTTACTACAACTCCTTGCAGAGACGTGCCAACAGCACAAGTTCACCTTAATCAAAAAGCGTAGATCACAAAACTCAAATAAAAAGTAAATTTGGAAATTTTTGAGCTTTAGAGCGTTTTTGGGATTAAAACTTGGAAAAACGCTGTATTCAACAGATCTAGGATCTGTGATACGACAATGTAGATTTTTGCTCTAAAGAAATTCAGATGGAGTGAGGTTGTCTCTTTCTAGGTTACATTATTTCAAGCAGATATATGAATCCGGAGGAATTTACGGAATTTTGGAAGTTTTGGTGCAAAACTTTTGTCCCAACCCAATATTATCCTTCTCTTCGCCACAAACCATTGTTTGATTCTTTGATACTTTATCATATTCTCTCCCCCCCCCCCCCTCCCTCCCCCTCACCTCTTGAACCAGATACACTCTAACAGAATTCCTCGTTGTTGAACTGTCTGGTTACCTAGTTCTATTTATTTCGCAATGCAAGATGACACATGCCGTCAATGTCTGTTGAGTCATATTGTAAGCTCTGAACAAAGAATATACAGGGTGTCCCAAAATAATGTGCACATTTTTTGATTTTGAATAACTCTCTTATTATGAGGTCTTTCGAGAAGCGGTAAGCGCCATTTTGTAGAGCTGGCTTCAACTTAGATTTACAGTATAGAGCGAATCACCGACCGCCCTTCATTACTGTAGGATTACGGTGGAAACTTGGAACATATGGTTTCACTGTGGAAAAAGCTGCCGTTTCAAAAATTTTCAAAAAATTGTGGAAACTTGTGTAATAAGGTTATTATGGACGCTGAGTTCAATAATCAACTATTCACAAGATTACGAAGCTTTCTAAACGGTGTAACCGCACTTTTTAGGAACATTGAGAAAATGGTCGCTACCTCTTACCTGGCATAACTCTTCAATAAAGCATCATAATAAGTTGGGAACTTCATAGTTATAATCAGCAACTCTAATTAGCCTAGTGTAAAAGCTTTCAGATTGTTTTGATTCTTTTCTGAGGCAAAATATGGCCTTTCATAGCCCAAAACCCTCTTTCAAGTTTCTACCGTAATCCTACAGTAATGAAGAGCGGTCGGTGATTCGCTCTATAATGCAAATCTAAGTTGAAGCCAGCTCTACAAAATGGCGCTTACCGCTTCTCGAAAAACCTCATAATAGGAGAGTTATTCAAAATCAAACAGTGTGCACATTATTTTGGGACACCCTGTATAATAACATCGACGTTAGAAAAAGGGAACTAGCTGTGCTATTGTGTTTGGGCAAAGGTTACCACACTACTTTTGGTCGAAACGAGTCTTATACTCTGAAAGTTGAAAGTGCTTCGAGACAACGTTAATGCATTTTCGCAATTTTTTTGAGAATATACCATCCTTCAAAAGTCAAGGCATTCGATTGCAAATTTTTCAGCGATCAAGAGGAAGTTTTCCTGATTTTGAGCTTCTGAACTGCTTGGTAACTTATTTTGCTTAGTTCCAGAAATTTTGATGACTTTCTATTCAGAGAGAATTTATCTCCAATTTTCGATGTATTTGCAAAGTCTTCATTTCAAACCATTTCATTCATAAACTCGACGCGTTCCAAATCAAAACCATCAAAATGTTAGTTATATTTGAAACATAAAAGTAACAAAAAATAGTCTTGGCTTGCTTGATTTGCATTCAGAATTTTTTTTTTGGTGAATTACAATGATATCAAATCTTTTCCTTCAGAAAAATGTTTCCTATCCTTATCACCTACTAGAGTTCTAGGTGCAGACACTTTTTTTCTATTATGGCTGGCCATGGTGAGTAGAACGATCGCCACAATGTTTAGCTAGAGAAATTTCATTTTGCACGCGTAAACTGCTGCTTCGTCGAGATTCGTTTGAAATATGATCTCATCATTTTTCTATGCAACTGACTCCAAATTTTTTAATTATTGTCCTACTCTAACCAAGAACATGTCTGTTTTCTGCACTAGCATTGATCTATGGCACTGAATTGGGAAATTACACAGCTAATAGAATAGAAAAAACAAATTGCTTTCAGCTTTTCAAAATAGCACCCACTTAATGCTCAAATGGATCCGCTTTGCGTTACGAAAGTGGATATTTGGCAGCACAAGTTTTTTGGGAAAGTAAGATTTTTTAAAATTTTTCATTATAATTTTCACAACTTCTTGATGACTATCCTACATTTATAGGAATGGAAATCATATCTAGCAGCAGTATTTGCCGAAAGCGAGTTTGGCAGAGCCAGGGTTGAACTTTTCAGTTCCCCGAAGAAAATGAAGGCTTTAACACCGAACAAGACTATTTTGCTAGATCAGTGCGTGGCTCTAAAATCGCTTAGAAACGGAGGCAAGCGGAAATACCGGCTCAGGTTTTATACTCAACAATGTATTTTCCAGAAGAACATCCCAATATTCGTCTCCAGATGAAAGACGATTCAGAAATCCGCGTCAGATGTGAGCAACATTCTCAATTGATGAACTGCCTGAGCACAGCTGCTTTTCCTAAAAAGGTTTTTAGCAGATCATTTAAGTTTTATTTATATCAGCACTATTATTTTAGTATGTAACTATTGCACCAAGCACCTCTATGGAATCTTCTTCATCTGAAAATGATGACACACAATTTTGTAAGAAATATGGAAAAGAAGCCAATTTCTGAAAACCATAATCATTTTTGCAGACGATGAATATCCTGTACTGCTTGTACCTTCGACTTTGACTGCAAAGCGAAATCTGGCTGAAGGCAACTACTCACTTCGGTTTTCCAAAGAAGATCTCTCGTTAATTCATGGAAATGCTCAAATTCAACACTTCCCATATAACGATATATCATGGTAGAGAACTTTCATCTATACTGCAGCCTGAATTTTGTAAAAATTTGTCTTTAGGGTTGCTGCAGGAGAAAATTCGTTGGGATTAGCTATCGAAAACTGTGGTGTTTACGAATTTATCTGTGATCAACCTCTCTTAATAATAGACCACATGAGGTAAAAAAAGCTATTTTCAAAAACCTAACAGTTTATATGTTTTTGCTCGAAACTTTTTCCTTAGACGCTCTCTTTTGCTTAATAAACTTTGGCTATTATCCCGAGTTTCTGGCAGAAAACTCCTATTTCTTTTTCGAAATAATGATTTTAGAAAACCTAAAACTACATGATTTCAGAAACTATATAAGATTCAAGAATTCGTTTCCTGCTGTGAGACTAAGCACAAAAAGGAAGTATAATCGTTTCTATCACCAGGCTCGCGAATTCGCCACCAGTGGATCGGATCTGAGGTACAAATTTATTCTTCTTCCTTTTTTTTATCTTTCTGACTGCCATTTTGTTGGTGCTTTCAAATCACTATCACACCTAATTCTATCGTAATGTGCGTTAATGCCAGTTATCGTTTTTTCGGATTCATAAAAAATAACGCAAAAAAAGTTTTATGTCTTTTTGGAGCTTTGCAAAAAAGTCTTTGCACAACGGACACTAAACAGTGTGAGCATTGATCAAATTCCTTGATATTTCAACTACAAAAATTACAGCCATGCTTCAACAATCGAAAGCCATGGATCATCAAAAGCGAGCGTTATGCACAGTGAACATCATCTTCCTCCAGTCATTGAAGAACTTGAAAAGACGCATGTTAAAGAAGAAAACGTTGCGCAAAAACCTCCTAGAGGAAAGTCGAAAGAAGGAGTTCTGTCTGGTCTATTCCGAATGTAGGTACAAATGAAGTTTTTTCGGTAATTTTAAGTTATCCGGGAACATTTTTTCAAATAATTTCGTGAATTACGTGTTTCGATCTAGAAATTTTTTTAAGGCTCTTATGAGGACTGTCTCCTTGCGACGTGTCAAGATAAAAGTTAACACGTTTGGGGCCAGTTTGACATGTTTTTTTTATTCAAAATCATTTCCGGAGAGGTGCGGGAGAATTTTAACTCGAGAGCTGTTCGGGGGTGTTTTATGCGAAACGTTTTAAGCGTTTATTGAAGCATTTTGTTAGCTTTCGGCAAAAACTTAAGGAAATCCTGCTTATCACATTGCCTCCTCCATGTGAATTTAGTTGGGAAATACAAATGATGGCTTAAAGTACCTGCTGCCAATTGTGTCGAAGTTTAGATAAAGGAATAGTAGCCCACTTCCCTGTTTTGATTTACCTGATGTGTAAGAAACACGGCATGTCATTTTCATAATGTTGAAGCTCCATGAAACTCTTGACTAAAAATGGGGTCATTATTGAACAAAAAACAGACTGAACTTACATTGATAGGTAGGCTAAACAAACTTTTCCTAAAACATTTCAAACATTTAGATTGCATGTCAATTTTTTGAGACGTGGTAGAAACTTGATTCCCCATCCTGTAAGGTTTTTACCAAATTGATGCAAGAAAAAGAAGCAATACCCTTTTTCTTTGGAAAAATGGGTCCGGATAAGTACCTTTTTTCCTGCTTTTTTGCATGTGGCTTTGCTAAACCGAAATATCGTTGCAGTAACTCGAAGAAAAAGCCGGTCAAAGGAGCTCGTACAGATTTTGAAGAAAATGCTGATAGCGAATGGCTGAGGTATATCCTGTAATTATAATCGCTTTGATTTTTGCATCTTCAAAACAGGCTACCGGTACCTCCAAAAGCTTTGAATGGAGTCGAGCAAAATGGACAACGAATAGATGATTTGTCTGAAGATGATCATCGAATTTTTGGAGCTAAAGCACATTTTGGAAGCGCTGAGGTAAAGAGAGTCCACACTTTTTCCAATATTTGTTTCATAGGCTTTTGAAGAATATGCCAAATTTTCTTAATTTTAATTTTAGTTTAATTCGATTCTAGGCCGTGCAGAAGCAGCAAGAGTTCTCCTCTAGGCACCGACGAATTAGTTCAGCTGGTGTAGGAAGATAAAGATGAAGAATTTCAAGCAAAGATTTACTATCCATGCTTATATAATAAAAGATTCTATCATATCACTGCTTATTGACTGATTGACATACTGCTATAGCTTTTACTGAATATCCTACCCCTATTGCTCAAAAAAGATGAAGTATGAAAAGCTATAAAATTTTTTCCTTCTAAAAGTGTTCTTGTGAGCAGAGAAAATAAATTTATTCATAGGCGCCAAAGTAAACGTAAAATTGTCAGTGTTATGTAGTGTTTACATTGACGCACTATCTGGAATGTGGACATATAAAAAAAGATATCGAGACCACATTGACACATCAGTACTTTACGGGGAAGATAATTATAGAAACAGTCTGGTTGATTAATTAGTACATGAAATGTGTAACAGATACAAATTTGTAATTTGTCTGTTCACTTGTTAGGTTCAGCCCCCGTCTACTTAAGGGCAACCCAAAGGTTACAATTGTATTTTTACCTGGCTACTGGTCAGTTTGCATTAGGTTGATTCTTACACTGGATGGATTTGATTTCGAAGTTACCGCAAATAATAGCGGATGTTGTTGAATGGATGAAAATAATCTAAACAAATAAGCCATAAACAAGCAACAAATAGGTAAACAAGCAAATAAATAAATGATCGTCATAATTATTTTGCTAGTCGCCTCTCTTTCTACCCGAAAATAAGTTCGATTTATTGGGGTTAACTGCTGTGATGACTGACCACACAATATTAGATGTTTTTTTTGAAACCTGGACTTTTGAGAGCTGAACCTAAGTTTGTGTCTTGAAACTAGGTTGATGTACAGAATCTCGTTGTCGCGAAAAAAAAAAACTTGCCCTTTTGGCAATGAAGGCTCGATAAGTTATATCTATCTATAATTCCAATTTTCAATTTCAGGTAACACCATTTTAGCTAAACAGTGAGAGATCGGCAATATGATATTTGAAAGTATCAAGACCCCAATCACATGATGTCTATAATTTTGCCTTAGTTTTTCCTGAAGAATTCCACACATTACGCTTCACACCCACTCAGAATAAAAAGCAGAGCAAATTGTACATCATTACTCTAGTCTCTTAACATTAAACTGACCATTGTTTCCCGACAAATAGTACCGCAATGTCACTGTCTCCTTTAAACGAAAAAAATGCACTTTTAAGTCTTTATTGAGCTGAACTCAAAACAATCTTTGATCGAAATGGCAACAGTCGGGTTGACGGAGGTTTTTATCGCTTGATAATATCAGACCACTAAGTCGGAACAGCGCGTCGCTCTCGTATCACCGAAAAAGGTTCTGCAGTCTCATTCATTTATTATGACACTTTATTCAATGTACTATGCTGAACTTCTTATCGTAGTTTAGTCTGTAATGGGAAATAACAGCGTGAAATGCGAAACAGTGCAAATGTGTAGGCGTATAATGTTTTGTAATTGTAAATCTTCATTTTTGGTCACTTATATAACAGAAATGTTTGAGAGAATCACCTGATGTGCTGAGAATGCTTTTCATAGTCATGATCTAATTCCGAAGAGATAGGCTTGATATCTCTTCTCTATTCAGCTATTAAATCGGCGAACACGTTCGATTTTGCCTATAACAAGAACTTGCCTATAAGCGACAAGCCTTCTCATTCCTTTTCTTTTCTCCCTTTCTCACATCGAAGAGTTTCATCGAGGAACGTCTATCCTGCAACTAATCGGATTGATTGTGTAGGCCTATAGTATGATACTGAATGTAGTGTGTTCGCTCGTAAAACTAACAATGAAGGTGTGGAACTTAGAAAGTTTTACTTTTTTTCAAATTTAACGTTAAAATTGGATCACCTAAATGAGAAATTGTGCTAGTCCTAATCTGTCGTGTAGGTTTTCTATGTTCTCCGTGTATTACGATTCTACTATTATCTACGACTAGCTGGCTTACCCGGCTCCGCCGTATGTTCCGAATAGAAAATTCTTTCTTAACCGATCCGGACCAAACATGGCACACATACACTTCGGGCCCCGGCGGTTGTCACAGTCCACTTTTCGTTATCGATCGATGTCGATTTTATCGATTTTTTGCAAAATTTGAGCTAGGGGGCTGGAATTTGGCAGAGGGGTGTAATCGAGCATGCTGATCACTTCCACGGGGGTGATCAGCATGCTCGATTACCCCCCTGTGCCAACTCCCAGCCCCGTAGCTCAAATTTTGCAAAAAGTCGATAAAATCGATATCGATCGATGACGAAAAGTAGCCTAAAAGCTCTTCCATGACGAAGGCGGTCGGTTTACTACGCGAAGCGGCTGCGACCGGCGTGTTTGAGCATCTTTCATCATTGGAGCTCGTACGCACGCGAACGCCTCGCGTACATGGGTGACCGCCTTCGTCTTGGAGTAGCTTTTATGACACCCGCCGGGGCCCGAAGTGTATGTGTGCCAAGTTTGGTCCGGATCGGTCCAGAAATGGAATTTTCTATTCGGAACATACGTACACACATACAGACGTACAGACAGACATACAAACAGACATTCAGCTTTTATATAAGATTGGTAGTTGATAAGGAAATTTTCAATTAACTATTTTTTGAAGATGCACACGAAACGTTAGTTTTTATGCATCGGTTTTTTTATGCGTAGATTGTTAAATAACGACAGTTATCAAAGTGTTTATATAATTAGCTGCAAAATCTTCCCATAAAAATCTTCCCATTGTTAGAGTCGCAAAACTCGAAAGTGTGCCTATGATAGCATTTTTCGTGCAAAAGTTATCAGGTACCGTAAAAAAACCATATTAGTAATGTGAATTTTCTAGATATTCCAGGCACACAGAACCGATCTCTACCCCAATATTGTACGAGGAATCCTCTTATAGTTTCCTATGCCGGTTTTATCGAAATTAGCTTATCAATGTGGTCTACCCGTGTTGAATACGAATTGTTATGAGACAGTACATACGTGGACGCCTAGCTGTAATCGGGCCATACTTGTAAGTAACCTAAAACCAAACTTATACTGTAGGATCGTTTCCCTGACTTTCAGGATACTCTACCCGACTGTGTGATCTTCTGCTTAAAAACGTATGCTCCATTCTATCTAGTAGGTAGCCAAACTTCCTCGTCATTTGTAAAATCATATTTGTACAGATCACATCTTTGGTAGCAAAGAGAGGAGATGTTCGAAAAATCGACTGGAAACGATATTTAATAGATGTTATTCGCTCTTCGACATTTCTTACCTGTAACCTGGTGCTGTTTATTTTCTTTTTATGTAGGTTCAGGTTTGTCAAGAATTTTCTTTAGCGTTTTATGCTCCTACTGTTGTGCGCTTGGCAATTTCAGGCATGTTCTTGGATTTTATACCCCGATTTCAATGGGGTTACTTAGCAGTATGACTGCGAGCTTCTTCTCACTTTTTGTGGAAAAACGAAGTCGTTGGCCTGCTCTAGCACTCTATTTGACAAATTTGGTGAGTCCTTATTATAATTTAGCAGTTTTAGTCCTTTGACCTTCGCTTAGTTTTATTAATACTCATGCTCCCATTTTGTTTACAAGAAAAAGCTAGTTGGTGCTCTTGTCGCAGTACTCAAAATTCATCGTGAATTTTCTTAAGAGTAGCTTCTCCAGTGAACAAATAATGTTTCAGGCATCCGAAACTGTATTTCGACAACTTCACAACCACGGGTACATCCCCAGTGTAAACAATGCTGAAGTTATACCATTTGTCATTGGAACAGGCTTGTTCTCCTATCTAAACACGGAACAAAGGCTTGACAGTAGCACAAGAAAAGTCTTCGAGTACGTCTGTTGAAATCTTTGACTAGGTTTTCTTCTGTATAAACGCAAAACTACTTAGCTTTACTCTCAATCTGACTGGAGAAAGGGACATTGCTGAGGATTATCCGCTCCCGAAACAATTTAAAGGATTCTTATATGATCTCAGAAAAAAATATGGAAGGACTCCACTATGCGAACATCAACATTCATGTGTTAGCAATGTAGTCGAGGTATATTTATTAATGTATTTATTATAGTATATATAATTATTGTTCTTCGGAAGTCCTCTAATACACTTGAATTTACAATTTTTCAGAGCTCAGCCTACAACTTTGCAGTTGGTATCGCAGTGAGTTCTGCTCTGGTGCTGCTCAGAAATATTCGAAGTGTTTTCCTGAATCCCTTGAAAGTTGCGGACCAGCTTTTTACAAAATCTACGCTCAGATTTCCAACATTTCTAGCTTTAATGCCTTTTATATTCCATGTAAGTGATTTCTAGCTTATTTTATAATGCCAGTCTTAATTGGAGAGAAATTTTTTTCGTTTCTGTCAAAAATGATTAAAAAATGTGAGAACTAAATCCGTTGCGACTTTCTTTTGTTTACTCAAATCCTTCTCCAATCATTTATAGTACTACATTATATTACAAAGTTTAAAAGAATACTATTATTTTTTTCAGAGCATCCGATGTAGCTTGAATCGACTATTTTTTACGAACACCAAATTTCGTGACATTGCTGCTGGAACAGCTTGTGGTCTGGCAATGCTAGCATTTCCAAATATCTCCATTGCTATGTATACGATGTGGAAAGCTATTGAAGTGAGTAAAAGTGTTTTCTACTTAACTCCAGTACAATAGTAGCAGCTGATTTTTTAGATCATTTACTACAACCTGGTCAAGGAAGGCAAAATAAAGCCATTGCCGTACGGAGATCTACTTCTGTATACCGTATCTACTGGCTATGTACTTTGGCAAATCATTATAGAACCACAAGCAATTCGGAAGGGTTATCTCAAGTTTCTGCTGAATCTCACTGGAAACAGGTGCATAGAAAAATTAGTCGCAGTTCTTCAAATCAAAAAAATATATTTACTTGCGTAGGACAGAAAATCTAATTCGACCAGCATTAAAAACAGAACATCTGCTGTGATCCTGTATGACTGAAGTAAAGGTGTTGATGAATGCTAGAAAAAATAGAACTTGCTGATATTGAACATTGGATTATTTTTTTAAAGAAGGTATCCTGGCGAATTAGGACCTTTTGATGGGAAACAACGATTGAACGCTTAGAAAGCTAAAGAACTTGATTTGTGTACCAGTGGTCCAGAGCTACGCACAATATTTTTTTGTATAAAATCAATTCCAACGAAAGTTACATTTAGAAGATATTTCAATACACTAAAAATATAGAAATTGATGGATTGGGGCGATTAAGGAGCATTACCAAATAAATATCCAACAAATTACTCAATTGTTTAATTTCTAAGTTTTTAAACCTGAAACACAAATGATTTTCTTCAACATCATAACAAATTTCATGATTAATAAGTATTAGGTCGTTCCGAAAGTAATGTCGCTTTTTTCAAAGGTACGCCACATCTCGTGCAACAAAGTTTTGTAAGAGATCTTGGTAGCATTCGATGCAGCATTTCATCCTCTTTCTAGCGGTTATAATATCGTTGCATAATATTCAATGAGCTCTCGAAAAATTACCAAAATTTAGAACTCGTGCTTTTTGCCATAGTCAAGTTCGGTTATTTTTCTAGATTTTTGTACTGATTCCCCAAAGAAGTGAAGTAATTAGCAGATAGAGCAAACCCTAGAGGATACGAAACAACTTTTTTCTTTTCCTTAGCCCGCCTCTTAGAATTTCTGAAACCAATTTTTTAATGCTATCAAATTCCATAATTGATCAGCTAAAACCTCACAGAACAAAAACCGGCGAGCAAGTTGGGTGTCATTCGACACAGCTTTTTCTCCTCTTTCTACCAGTTGTTTTTGGTTTCCGATTCATAAAGTTTTCCGGGATAAAATCATCATAATTCAGTTTCTCCAGGACGCTCCAGGCTGTACCCGAAGTTTCCGAAAGTTGCTAATCTGAAGCGATAAACCGCTCATTTGCTTTTTGAAATTAATGTAAAACCATAATTCATCTTTGTAAGTTTCAAAATCCGAAGAATCATTGGTGTTTGATGCATTTGTGTCTGCGACGAGCCTGCTAAAATTCGGTGGTTCCAATAAAAAATCTGTACAAAAATTATGAAGAGCTATGGAAAGTAGGAAAAATGATGCTGTTTCCTGTAGGGTTTCCTCTATCCACGCATTACTTGAACTCCTTTCGAGGGTTGTTACAAAAATGTAGAAAAACTGGGAAACTTGATCTTCCCAAAAAGCATAGGTCGCAGATTTTGGTAATTTTTTAGAAGCTCATTGATTATTATGCAATGACGTTATAACCACTAGAAAGAGGATGAAATGCTGCACCGAATGCTACCAAGATCTTTTACAAATCTTCGTTCCACGAGATGTGGCGTACCTTTGAAAAAAGCGACATTACTTTCGGAACGACCTAATATAATGTTTCATTAAAAATAGTATTTTCAGAATGTCCTTGCTGAATCGACATCTTTACGAGCACTTTGGATACCAATCAAAACTCTTATTTCCCTACCAACCTGTTCTCAATCCCAAATATTGTACAATCAATCCGATGTTATACCAACCGATTTCGCCTCCTTGAGAACTGTTGCACTATATCGATTGTCCTTCTAATAGAGATTTTGTTTTCGAAAAAGTTTATGTGATCAATTCTCGGGTTTTCACTGTAAAGGCTTTTGCATGTCATACTTGCACCTTGACTTATATGCTGTCTTACTAGTAACGAAACATGTTTCTCTGATTCTCGATTCATTTCCTAATGATCCATAACGGCGATCAATTGACCCCATAGGGTGAACATACATATCGTGCTTGACCGGTAACATATAATCGCTTCATTCTTCAGTCACTTTGATTTTACAAACATTTTTACTTTGTTTTGTGTGTGGATTTTCCTTATCTTCTCATGATAAGGTCAATTTATTTCCTTGTTAAGTTCAATAACCTTGCTGATGAAGTTAAATAAAGGTTCTGCAAAGATTCTGCTAACATCATAAGAACAGAAAGCGGATTTTCGTCAAGCTCAATATAGTGTGGTCTTTTTCAGATCTATCAAAACAAGAGAAGAATTTGGGTCGACAAGGTTTTTTCAAAATATATGTCAACTTTTCTTGCTTTGAATGCAACATTTCCAACTACCATGTATGCATCCTTAATGACAAGAAAAAGCTGGTCCAACATCTTCGCAAAATAATTCTCACTAAAATGTGCTTTCGAAATTATTCGGTGCTTTATCCAGGAATTAAATGCTTTGCAGTGAGTTTAATGAATTTGTCTGAACAGTCTCTACTGATTTTTTTGCTGCATTGCTGCTGGTTCTTAGAAAAAAAGCATTGTTAATTTATAGCTAATCTATTAATGGAGCAAATTTGTCTAAAGTTCTCTCTGCTATTATTTTTCAGAATTACAATAAGATCTAAGCTGTCAGAATTTCACATGCTTAATAATTCGACGCCCGTTGAGATTTTGCACTCACTTGCTAGAAATTGACGAATCTTCGAAACTTTTCGGGATCTTCTTTCTTCGAAAACTCCCTTATTTGTGATTTTGATCAAAATTTTCTCAGAAGATAACTAGTGACGAAAATGTAGGACGTTTTTATGGATTTTTTTGGTACTTTACGCTATTTACAGGGCTCGGCACAGTGGCTTATAAGCAAGCTGGATATCGTTTTTAAGACAGAAAGCAAAGGGAGTTTCTTTGTGGCCGAAAAGACTCAAAATTTGCGACGTTTTTAGTTGACGTTTCGTTTTTTGGAGAATTTTTAGAGAGTATGGTCTAGGGTCAAAGGGGACTGTAAAAATTCGCAAAAGTCAAGGAGGGACTTCTTTTTTTTGCATTTTCATCTACACACCTCGTGCGGAGCCCTGGTTATTTGGGGCATAAAACATAATGTCACATTTTCTTTTTCATGTTTCATTTCACATTTTTTCATTTTTCTGTCATTTTTTTCATTTCGCTCAGCTAGCAAAAAAATTCCTGCCAAAATATTTATGTTTCATGATGCGATTAAGTTGGCGATATCAGTTCGCTGCTATGTCTAGGTGCAACGTAGCGTCTCGTCGCGGGTAAACGCCCTGTACGATAAAATGGGCATGTTTATCACAGACTACGCGAGTACAACGTAGTTTGGTTATTTTCACATCAGGCGTTCAGTTTGCTTTGTCCTTTTACTGCCTCGGCGATCGTCTAGGAAAATTATTTGGACCCTAACTTATTGATTATGTGTTGACCGTAGTGATGGTTAGCAGGTGATCGATCGTATACAGTCTTGTGGCAAACCGGAAAAAAGCCATAACGAACAAGTCTTCCTATGTCTTTGATGTTCCTTTGATCTTCTGAACATTTTGAACAGAAAAATTGATTGATAATTGATTATTCCAAGATCTAAGCTTACTTTAGAAAAAAATTTCTTCACATGTAGAGTTTTGCCTGATGTGACATATTTATACATGAAAGAGTGTTTGTTCCTAAGTTGGCTTCGTTCAAAAATTGTTTTGGAGCTCATTTGAATAAAGTAAAGTTTCGTAACTTCATGACTTTGTGCTCGTGCTGTTGCTAGTTTATTGAATTATAAGTTTTGTATTATTATGTTGAACTATAAGTTTTGTATTATTATGTTGATCTATAGCAATTTTTTTCGTGCAATTTCCTTATGTGATAAAATAAGTAAATAAATAAATAAAAAATCCTTTTTTTTTGCCAATAAGTCCATCGATTTGCTGACCTTTGCATATCAGCTCCGATTATTTATTTACCTAAGGTCATACCAACCGGTACATTCTTTTCTATAAAGTGTAGTCCCTTCGACTCAACTCGTAGCTGCTTCGTTCTGTTCCAATTTTTAAAATTTTTTAAATTTTTTAGAATGGCATTTTTGTCGAAATTGGCCTATGCATTAGATATGCAGATACTCACTACAAATTGTTATGAAACTATTCATACTTGGGAACCAGACTGCTATAAAGCTATACTGGTAAGAATTTCAAATCTCTGGGTTTTTTGAAGCTTTCAAATTTGAAACTTTAAAATCTGAAGCATTGTTTAGGTAGCCACTCCTAATGGTTTTTGGGTTTCTCTACGAACATATCTGACATTCTATACGGTAAGTTCGATTGTATGGGTTCTATATTTTATTAGGACTCTCCTCATGAACTTAGTAGACAACTCGCCCAAAATTTTCTGTTTCGAAAAGTAATTCAGCGAAATTAGAGATCAAACTTCCTTATAATGCATGGAATCATCCTTGTTGAAGCGTAGTTTGCACTTAATGTCATTTGAGCACGGAAAATCTATTTGAAAAAGCAAGGAAGAAGGAAATTATTTGGTTCTTTGAAAAATATGTTTTAGCTCACCACACTTATCAGCAAAAGAGGAGATGTGCGAAAAGTTGACTGGAAGAGGTTTTTTGTCGACGTGATGAGATCGTCGATATTCCTAACAGCAAATCTTTTACTATTTCAATATTTCATCTGTCGAGCAAGGTAAATCGCCTTTTGCATTTTTGTCTTTCTTTGGAGATTATATATTTCCAGGCATTTGTTAGGTTTCTTCACAGTTCCAACAATGGGCTGTTTGACAAGTATGATGGCGAGCCTTTGCGCAATTCTGATCGAAAAGAACTCCCGAAGGCCAGCATTGGCTTTGTATACAACTAATTTGGTAATTTTGATGTTTCTTTCATTTCCTTACCGTACTTTAACGTATGCAGGCCTCAGAGACACTCTATCGACAGCTACGTAATCATGGGTACTTATTCAGTGTAAAATATGGTGAATGTGTTCCATTTGCCGTTGGACTTGGAATTTTCATGTATCTTCGAGCTCGAGGAAATTTGGATCCGACAGTAAAGAAAGTGTTGAAGTGAGGTTTTCATTCAAATTAATTTTTCGTTTACCTTTGAGCCTAGGCCCTATCTACCCTTTGATTCCACAGGATAGGCGGCTGGAAGGCGACCGCTCCACCCGCGACGCAGTCTGCGCCTCTATCGAGCGCGTGCTCTCTGATCACTCCCTAGGTTTGATAAGGCCTCGAAGCCCCGCCTCCCAGCCGCCAACCCCGTTGAGTTAAAGGGTAAATAACTGTATTTTGCTCATTTTTCAAGAGGTTAAACGCCTCTGCTCATTTCAAACTATTATTTATATATCTACGATCAGTTTTCACGTTGAAATGGGATACGAATCATGCTCAAGTTTAGTTTTTCCCACTGCGCTGCACCTGATGAAGATATTGTGAATGCGAGCAAGTTACCAGATGATTTCCACGCCATGCTCGATAAACTACGCCACGGATTCGGTAGAACCTCCAAATGTGAACATAAATATTCTTGTGCTAGTGCTGCTACAGAGGTAACAGGTTGTTAGGATTTTTGCGATGTCTCCTTGGTATTATCTTTTCGTTTACAGAGTTTCGCCAAAAATTTCGCAATCGGAGCTGGTATAAGCGCAATTCTTGCATTGCTGCGCAATTTGCGGCATTTGTTCGCAAATCCACTGACAATCGCTAAGGTTCTATTATCGAAGGAGAACTTGAAACTACCACTATTCTTCGGGCTTCTGCCTCTTCTATTTCATGTACGTTCTGAGCACGATGTGCTTTGAAAAATTGTGTAAAAGCATTTCTAGGTGACCAGATGTGCCACCAATCGACTTGGCGGCTCCAGTACTGAATTTAGCAACGCGGCAGCAGGTGTCGTCTCTGCCGCTTCGATGGCTCTGTATCCAAATGTGACAATTGCTATGTACACTTTATGGAAGGCAATAGAGGTCTGTGATTGTAGAAGTGTTCTATGTGCTCAGATATCTCAAAAATTCGCTTGAAAAATTAGTATAGCAGGAGTTTGGCTTCGGTAATTAGCTAGCGTGATTCGACTATTCGTCAGATGTATTCAGTCTTTTGTATGGTGAACTTTGAATACCTAATGCGCACAAACTTCTAAGTTTTGCTCATTCTAAGTGGGCTACGTTATGAGCAGTTGGATCAGTGCCAAATCGGGTAGAGAACTATACGTCGCCGAAGGGAGGTGTCCCCGCGCGGACATCTGCAACAGGCCATACCTATGCCCATTGTAGACACTACCAATTTGTACCAGCTGTCCGCGTGAGCTGGAGCCTATCGGTGACTTGTAGTCCTCTACCCGTTCCAAATCTATTGAGTCGCATCTTATCCGATTATTAATGAACGATTTAATTATCAAACTACCCTTGTGATTTCTTGACACATTTTCAAATTTTCTTCTAAAATGCTTGACAAAATTGGGAGAATCTCCATAATTAATTGATAATATCTGCTGGAAGGTTTCTCAAAAGGTAAAGTCCTGAAGTTTACTCGTACAGGGCATAATCTCTTATTATTTCTTACACTTGTGTATTTCTTTCCAAGTGGTACATATTCAGCTTATTTGATGAGCTACAAGCAGGAGGGGGGGGGGGGAGGGGATGGAGAGCTCAGACATTTCATAATAGGTCCACCAAATGCCAAAATTCCAGTTAAATGATGGAACGTTTCATAATATTCCCCCCCCCCCTATATCTCCTCTACAACTGGAATATGCATTTATATGAGCCTCAATGAAAATAAAAGTAGCTGATTAATCCATTTTTATTTGAGTTTTTTCTGTGAAGTACAATACTATTAAAAAGGTTTTTGTGCTTGTAACCGCTACTGAACATTATACATTTTCTGGATGCTCACAAATAGTGATAAAAAATAGTGTTTTGAAGCTCTGGTTTCAAATAAGAAGAACTAAAAGCGATATTTCAGGCAGTCTACTGCAATGCCGTAGAAGCTGGATATTTACCTGTGATACCTCACTGGGATACAATTTTGTATACAATTTCTACGGGTTATGTTCTATGGCAAACGGTAGTTGAACCGCAAGCAGTTCGAAAAGGGTATCTAGGATTTTTGAAGCAAATAACTGGCGATAGGTAAGTTGCTAACATTTATTTACGCTTTGACCAATCTCTTTTCTCCTTTAGGTTCAGACTATTCAACCGCGATCTGTACGAGCACTTCGGATTTCAATCTAAGCTACTCTATCCGGATGTTAAACTCGTTCTTAATACGAAATATGTCACGTTGAATCCAATGCTGTACCAGAAAATAAGGCCTCCGTGCTAGAAAAGCAAATTTTACAATAAATTATTAATGTACAGTTGTTTCTGCGTATACGATACTGAGCGAGAAAAGAGGTAGAGTTGAATAAAAAACTTCAAATGTGCTCATTCTTTTTTATTAAAACTCTCATATATAAGCATTAACGCACTAGAAACTTCTTCTCACCATCCAGGATTCACGTTTGGTTCATTTGCACAACGATAATGAGCCAAAAAAGATTTTTTTACTAGGTGAAGAGGTCGTAGTCTTTTTTCCGCAAGTGTATTTCTTCTTAATTTAAAAAAGTTATAACTTTTTTGAAAGAAAAGCTAGAAGAACCTTTAGCTGTTTAGTGGAATTCTCTCTTTTTCCGCTTTTAGAAAATATAGCCTGAAAGGAAAGACAAAGATTTTCCTATCGTATGAAAGTGGTCGTAGAAGTTTTTTAGAATTAAGTTATTTTTTTATAGAAATAGAGAAAAAATTGTAAATTTTTGTGAAAAGCTGGGAGAGTCTTTGGCAATCCATTGGTTTCCTCTCGTCGTCAGTTTTCAGAAAATATTAGGTTGTAGGAAGAAGAATGCTAAAAGCACTTGGTGGAGGCAGTGAAACTCTCATATACAAGAATTCACACTCTAGAAACTTTTTCTCACCATCCAGGATCCAAGCACGGTTTATTTGCACAACGATAATCATTTTTAGGCTCTTTCTTAATGTCTGTAGATGGAGCGTAGAATCTCCTGTTACTAAGATCCCATTTCGCGTTGCACAAATATCTCATTTGGGGATTATTAGGTTTTTTTCCCTGGCGCAGAAGGTATTACTAGTAATTTGCTCACGGCTGCTGATGTCCCTTGGATCTAGTGAATACGTACAGTATAACTTTTATTAGATGATTTTAATCAGAATAGAGCTATCTGCACATTTAACAATACCTTTATCCGGCTATGGCATATAACAATAGACCCAATAGCAGCGCATCACTTTAAAAGAACTGTTGAGACCGGATGCAGAACTCGTTTTCTGAGATGACGATGGGTGTCGAATTGCTGCCGAATTAATAGATTTCGACGACAAGGAAATGCATGACAGAGATCATTCGGATGGCAAAACACAAACAAACATACACATATTAGAATTTATCTTTTAAAGTGCGATGGTAGTGCAGGTGGATGATGTATATGTCTATGTTTTTAGTAGTAGTTTGCCATTTCGAGTTTTTGTAGCGTGGATAGGATATCGTGCATATGGTCTAGTTGTCCTGATCGGCCGAATCGAACTTAAATAAGTTCAAAAAATTTGAGTTACGTCATCTTTAAAGAAGAAATTTGCTTACCGAACGGTTGTGGAGCTCCATTTCGTTTGTCCTGCATAGACTCATAGTCGTCATCGACTGCGGATCTTTTCCCAAATCTTCAAAATTGCAGTCTTTTATTTATGGATTTATTTATTTATTCAATTATGTAATACATACAAAGATGCGTTATCAAAATGCTAAAATGCTTGTGAGCTCTATTTATTTATTTATTTATTTTCCAAGCACTGACATGAAAAAAATTTCCGCTTACCTGACCAGCGCATTCCGCATGCCGCCTCCAGCACGGCCGAAGCGCACCAATGCGTTACGCATCGCTCGTTTCTCGACACTAAAACGTACATAAGATGATGATTATTTGGCAAATTTCCAAATCGACGAGCTCATATAGACCCAATCAATGCTCGAGCCTTACTGATGGGGCTAGTTGAAAATTACTTTCGTCATCTGGTTCGTGTGCTCATTTTACGAGCTAGGCTTTGTTTTTGCGGACCTATCGCGCAATTTCGGCGTTGATTTGATGGCTTTGTGAGTTTGAAGCGCGTAAATCAGTGCTCATACTCGTCATAAACCCCCGTCTGAAAATTCTCGAAAACCTCATCAGCTGATTGAAAAAAAAGAGATCTAGGAGGTGACTCAAGCATTCCTGACGCGAAAAGCAAGAAGTGCTCACCTCGAATCGTCTTGTGCCAACGCAACGGCGGCTACCAATACGGCAAGGAGGCAAAACGATGTCGTAGCAGAAGATGGCATGTGGAAAATGATGATGAGTGAGAAATAAGCGAAGTGGTTGGCCCTTAAATAATAGTGGGATAGCCGCAGGACACGTACGGCTCGCAATATTTCTACGGCAAACAGCCGCGGGCGTAGTCCACTTCAGATGTGATGGCGATATTAATGCGAATATTGAAATCACGCTTTGGCTTATTTCGGATTTGGGTGGTACCTGGGAGCAGTTAGAGGGGAAACTCTAGCGAGTTAGGGGATGTATAATGCTGAGCAGTAGATGTTGATGCTAGGGGGGCAGATGCAGAGGCGGTCAGATGGGGTCGGATGGGCATGACGAGTGCAGGCTATGACGATTGTCTATGAGAGTTGGGTGGGTGTGTGTTTAGCGTGAAAATGTTATAGGAAGTTCGAGATTCTATACTAAAACGCAAATATCAGCTTGGCCAGAAAATAATTTCGTTTTGGCATAAAAATCTCCTCAGAGAGTTCTCTTGTTTTTCATTTTTGCTGTGCCGGTACAGGTTTGTTAGGTGGCGTGTATCTATTAACTCGAAGTGGCCTAACGTTTCGACAGCTTCGTCGTCCTCGGAGGCCTACAAAACAAAATAAACAGAATGGAACTTGGAAATTACTTTTCTTGTTGTTTTTCATTCACATTTTTACAGGGTTCAAAGATTCTACTATTAAGACTTACTACTCAGAATTTCCCACTACTAGTAAAGGACAGTTATGCCCCAATATAGCTAAGTTTCCAAAAGCTCAGTTCTATGACTCAAGCTGAGAGACTTTTCAAGCCTTCTAAGTAAATCTGACGCAAATATTAGGCTGGCCAGAAAGTAATTTCGTTTTGGCATGAAAATCTCCATAGAAATTTTTCTTGTTGTTCTTTCTAGTTCGAGAATTCTATCAAGAAATATCAACTACATAGAATTTCTTAGTATCAATATAGGACAGTTTTTCTTTTCAATATGTCTAAATGATAAAAGCTCAGTTCTTTGACTTTCTTCTTTTTCATGCTGCGATGGATGTAAAGTTGAGCAGTTTGGTATTCGGATACATACAGCTTTTCAGATTCAAAGAATAACAATAAAAATTGTGATCTGCCATATTGAAATTTTTTGTTCGAGAAAAAAAAACGGAATTTTCTCACATTCGCGCACAATGAAAAAGAAATTGGCGTTTCTCACTTCGTTGCTCATTTTCTGCCAGGGAAATAGGTTCTACCGAAGCTATATTAACATTCCAGGGAGTGCTATCTCCAAGAACAACAAACAATAAACAAAAATTTGCATGCAGCACTTGTGGAGCCTCGAAGGCGACCGAAATTATATATTAGCCGACCTTAATGACTTTTTTGGAAAGAATTATCTGTAGTAGAGACACAAAGAGCTAGAATCTGAAAAAACGCAAAGAAAATGACTTCCTGGAGGTAAGAAAAGCTGAGAGAAAGTGTTAATGAGCTCTCCGCGCAGATATGAATCACTTGCTTCAAGACTCTCAGGCATTGTTCTCAACAATTCGCTCGAATTCCATCCGGACCTTGTGCTCTGAGCGCTCGACCACGCGACTAGAAACTCATTCTTCTCACTCCTACTCACTTCTCTTCTTCTTGACTACTACACATCAGATATGTAACATCAGCTGTCGTGTGGAGCTCAAAAATAGTGACGTTACTTTACTCCACCCACTCCTAGAATTGATTCAGTGATGCACAAGTCTAACGTAGCTCAAGATTAAAAGGCCCTCTGGATGATTCTGCGAAGAATGACCGCTAAAGTATGGAAGAACATCTGAAATGAAGGAGAGCAAATTTGCTTTGATGTACGGATGGCCTTACTGGATGAGATGTCACAGACGAAGGTCTTATGGTGGCTAACAAGGACAATGAGGATTAGCTTGGGATATCAACATGTACATGATAATACTTGGAATTGCAAGATCATTGAGAGCAGAATAAGATCCAAGACTAATACTAGTTTTTGTTAAAAAAAAAGAAGATTGCAAATGGACTGTGATTGAACTTGCGTTAAATTCAAGTCATCAGCAAAAGGTGGCAAATTTTGAAAAATCAAATCAACACCAAACATTATTTAATAAGGCAAACAGATCTTTTTTCCAAGAAGTTACATGAAAAAGCATCATGATTCAGTAGCAGAAGACTCGGAACTGAAGATTTCTGCTGGCTAAATAGCCTGTTAGAGTCAGATTTGCAAGAATTTTTATCCTAATAGAAATGAGGATGAAATACAATGCCATATGATATCATACTACACTTGCAGCTATTTTCTGAAATGTTGAAATCGGATGATAATAAACACTTTTCTAAATTAAATAGTTTGCCATTAACTCAAATATGATCCTCAAGAAAATGTTCCAAGTACAGAGTTAATGCTTGCTGTGGAATGTAGAAAATCATCGGAAAAGGCAAAAGTAGGAGCAGATAATTAGAAAGTGTAAAATTTCAAGTTGAGTCGATAGCCAGAGGATGCGAGATATTAGCCATGTCTTTTCATATATTATTCATCTACAGTTATTAATGGTTTGTTCTCCTAATACCCAATTTCTCAAAAGTTTTATAAAAGTCTCATGCTAGCCAAAGCCTGATGATATAAAAAGACCTGCTGACGAGAACCTGGCCACCGGTGTACCACGACTTCAAAAATTTTTCTTTTCGCAAACCATGCTGCTTTTGTTGAGATTTTAAAACTTCGGATCATGGGTTCTCCAAATCTAGGTGCAAACTTTCGGTATTCAAAGCAAGTATCTCCTGATTAAACGTCTTTCGCCGATCAAATATTTCAAATCTAGCCTTTTCAGCATTACGAGCAGTGCGTACTTCACGCGATTTTAGTCGCGACGGGATTTGGCAATATTCCAACTGTCCATAACTCCTGTAAGCACATTTTAAATGCACAGAGGATAGGGCATTTTATCAATCCACATAAGTTATAGTCGCCCTCACCCCACTAGTCGGTCGGTGGACGAATTCAAATTTGAAAAGGAGCAGGCCTGTCACGGCAGAGCGCGGCAGGAGACAACGCTCAGCAATTACAAAAACTCAATATGGGTCAAAAACGTTGTAACAATACAAAAACTGCTAAGCAATGGCAAAGAAATACGCAAAGTGAATGCGTGAATTTGAACGGAGAGCTAAGGTGCCGTGCTCTGCGGCGACCTGCCTGCTCCAGTTCGAATTCGAGTTCGTCCACCGACCGACTAGTGGGGTGAGGACGACTATATACACACTATGCATGCGCGATTTGCCAATGTTGAATCTGAAGACTTTTGGCGAATTGCCAAATCGCGTCGCGACTGAAATCGCGTAAAGTACGCCCGGCCCTTTAGAGGAATACCTACGTTCGGCTCATCTTTACTGTGGGATTACGGTGGGAATCCACGACATATTTAGCATTAGTCAGCTGCGATTTCAACAAAGCTCAAAACACCTAAAAACTTTTGCAGCATGATTTTACACACGTGATTTATCAGTACATTTTTTTACAGAGCTGTTTATATTCTAGCAAATGCCAGATGTTATCGAGAAAGTTCAGGTGCAAGGTGTGTACAACGTAATCATTAATAAGGCGAGGAAAAAAAGTTTGAATATTTCGCGAAAGATTGGCTCTGTGATTGAGTTGGTAGATTTTTTCGGATTGGACATTTTTGGAATGCAAATTGTTCTAATGATGTTGGCTTGTTTAGAATCTCCCACCGTAATAAAATATTAATGATCGGAGGATTTTGATTTTAAAACGGCTCTGAAGAGTCATTGGAAGAGGAAATCAGCGATTAAACAGTGTATTAATAATTTTGCACAGTGTATTATAGATAAGTAATGTTTTGAGAGTACTTTGAGCATGGATAATGTTTTCACATCATATGTGCAGATAAAATAAAATAATTAATTTGTACTGCATGAACAACAGACTTTGACGCTCATCAAAACGCTAGCTTCTATCCTGTGCCCTTGCTTTAACCCAAAAGAATTTTTCGCCCACGAAATTCTGCAAAATCACGTCGTCATTAATGATTCAAACCAGATTGCAATTTGAAAAAGCGTTACTAGTCATGCAAACTATTAGAGACCAAAATTTGCAACACACTGCAGTGGGTAGCTTTGATGTACAGATGGCTCAAAGGTTTGAGAGAAGACATGGAAACTACGCACTTATTTGTCATGGACTAAAACCTAACATTACATGGGAGAATGTCAACTATAGCAATCCACAAGTAATCCGTGGTACCTCCTAATTCGAAAGCACCACAGTTATTGAAAATTTATGGATGTCGCGACTATTTGCTAGAAACAAAAAAAGTAAGCCTACATATCAAACTTAAGTCTAGGTTGCTTTATTTCACCACCGCAGCAGCTCGAAAATCGCCCATAATTTATCTGATAATTAGACTTTCTCGATTTATTCGAAAGTGCTTTGAGTTCAGGAAAATCAGCCTTGACATACAAATTAATCTTACTACGATTAGCTTAGCTAACTGAGTAGTTATTGGTACCCGGTAATAGCTTCATTTCTACCGATCGCCTTTTGAAAAATAAAGATTAAGCTACCTATGTTTATGGTAGGTTGTACAACTCACAAACCATATGATACCGATGCTTTTTTTGTATGGATACCATTGAAAAGTAAGCTTTATAAAAACAACAAACAACAAATAAAGATGTATTAGGACGACTATAATAGTACGCAATATTTTGATCATACTTGATTTCAACGAACTTGTAGAAGGGAAATCTGCGCGAGTTTGACAAGATTTAGAATGTATCATTTTACATAAAGAAGAGTTGATATATAGAACAAAAAGGCAATATTTGATTTCCACAAAAGGAATCGGAAAAACAAAGAGAGCCGCCTTGAGTGGATCACCTTTCGGAAATATTTTTTGTGCTATTTTTGAGAGATAAGAAGAGGTGCACTTACTAAAAATCAAATATTTTTTCCGCTCTTCAGTGGCACCACGCAATAAAAGTAATAGGTTAAGTTAGGAAAAATTACTACTGTTTTGTAAAAGTAAACAGATTAGTAGAGTATCTAAATTCAGCTGTCCAAGAAAATATCTGAAATCTTAAGTGAAAAGGCTTGGCATATAGGCTTTCCAAAAAAATTTTGGTCTGCTTCCTGAAATTTTTTTGCGTACTCAGGAAGTACGTACGCAACGGCAACAACGTTCTCGGATTTTTTTTTTGGAGAACTAGTTTGATTTTGATTTTTTTACAAATTATCTTAGTTAGATACATGTGAAAACATCTTTTGCACAATAACTCAAATGGATCTCTTTCAATAATTTTGAACAATTTTCGTGTGGGAACTCTTTCCATCTCTTCGATAATTGCTTTGATAGTACCCGCTGAACAGAGTTCTTTTCTTTTAAGGCAACTCTAGAAAATTTTCTGACTATTCTTCATGTCTCTAATCTACACATCAAGATTCTTGTAGTTCTTAACTAGCAAACTTCAGGAGAGACGTCGCTAAGACTAAATGATGAATGAACAAGAGGACACGGCCTTGAGCGAACATTTAGAAAAAACAACACTAACAAATGTGCTACCATGACATAGTACAGCTATTGGCTTTGGTTAAACAGCAAACATTTTTATGTCTAAAGAGAAATTAGGAAGTTATTGCAGCGTAAATTATCCTTTTACTGGCCTATTCTCTTCATTCCTTGACATTTTTATCACCATGAGTAACTAGCACTAATGACTGAATTGTGGTGTAAATGCACTCATGAGGGGAATTGAAGTCAGTAAGATTCGTAGTTGTACTAAGAAAACCAATTGTTTCAGAAATTAAAAAAACATGTAGTACTTATTCTAGTTGAACTGCTTCATATTACTGAGAACCAAAAGATTGTGGGCATTTGAGTAAATTTAGCAACGAAATATACAATATTTTGCAGACTACGGTAAAGGTAAGGGTACCACAGAAGCTAATACTATCAAATGTGAAAACCAAAGAATAATTCTTTCTTTCTAAGGGCTAGATAATTTCAGAATTATGTTTCGAATTGGTCCTAATCAAGTTTCGCTGATTCTCATTCGTTTTACAGTCATGTGCGCTGTTTGAAGTTTTTTTCTCAAATATTCAAAAAGTGAAAACACTCTCCCAGTGTGCTTATGATATTTAACATGATATTTTGATATTTTTTTTTATCTACATAAGAAAATTAATCTTGATTTTGGGCTCCATGTTTGTATAGAATTTCTCTGAGCTTCGTTGTTAACATAAGACCAGTAAATTTAAATTTACGGCCAGCTCAAATAATTACCTTATAATTAGGATAAATCCGAAGTGGGGAGGCTATACAGGTGCAGGCTACTTTGAATTTTAGCCTTTGTAAAGGGCCATTGAAGAAAATTCAATACCTCCAAATTCAGTAAACTCTTCACGCATAACCGATTTCACAGAGCCATGATTACACACCTAAAAAACGTTGAAGTTTCAGCAATTAAAGAAAAAAAAGACGACTTGCTCTACCTCCTAAAAAAATTACCAAGATTTCTGCGAAATCACATCCAACCATTTTTTCCTATCCCTTTTTCTTGTCACTAACTGGTTCGAATTTGTAAGTAAAGTCAACAGTTCCTTTAACGTACGTTCATCACAACCGGCACTTAACGACAACGTAACAATGTTGATTCATGTTAGTCTGATGTTGCAACAAATGTGCCAACATAATGGAAAAATTCATTCGTTAAAGGTGTTTTTCATCACTATGTACAACAAATCAAGACAATTAAATATGTGTTATCACAGAGGAAAAGAGCGAAAACTAAGTGATTGAGAAAAATCATCAGCTCAAGTCAGGTTGAAGAAGAAATGACGCGATATTCGCATTGGAATAGACAAGGAAAGCATGGAAAGCTCGCAAAATAAAGTGATTGATAAAGCGCTCGAAAGTCATAAGGCAAGGCGGAGCATTGGAGGGGGTACTCAGGGGATCTACATGATGCCGCGGTGGGCTCTAGCACGAATTTTGAGGGTCCCAAAAATCGCAAGTCTTCTCTGGTGTGTTGCCCTATAGGCTCTGATTGCACTGATCATCGTTAAAGTTCGCATAAAATGCAAGCTGTGCTAGTAAGCTAGAATTTCACCAACCATAGAGACCATAGGAAACAACCATTATAACAAATCATTAAAAATGATGAATTATCTAGAGCTAGCGATAGAGAACAGATAGTTTACATACTCAGACGATTCACCGGAAATTCCGCAGGACAAGGAAAATTCAGTTACATACTCAGAAAATTCACCGGAAATTCCGCAGCACAAGGAAAATTTGCGACGGTTCCGCGGGATATTTTTCACCATTTCACCAAAATTGTAAAAGCTGAAAATGGGTACTTTCGCAGAATGTTCACGTCAAACTGGTTGAAAATGGAAACCTCCGCAGGGTCTCTTTACAGCAAGCTACGGAAATTTCGAAAAATGCCAGCGCTTCCGCAGCACTTTGGCCTGGCAGTACTTTTGCAGGTTTTTGAACGTGTTGCTAAGGAAGGTCAACAACTAGAATGGCATTGTCGAACATATCATCCGTCCCAGTCAATAGAGCAAGGTTTGAATCCTGCTTAGGCGTTCTCTTTTGCTGTTTCCGTCCTAAATTTCGAAACTTCCGCAGTACGTCTACGGAACTTCCGCAGGTGACCCGGCGGAACCCTCCCAGACGTTTTGCGGAATTTCCGGTGAATTTTCTGAGTATGTAATCTACAGAATATTAAGGCATTTTCAGGAAATATTAAAGCACCAGCTGATATGATACTAAAAGCTAGAATTAATGAGCAACAGCACACAGTTTCCATGGACAGATAACTTCATGGAAGCATCCGAAGAAATCCGGCCGATCGTCCAAATCGTGGACGAACAAACGAGTCCATTTGTGCAAGGATATGCTCAATACGTACACCACCATCACGTTCGTGACGACGACGTTTGTGTCTGTAACTGAGAACATTGAAAATTTAGAAGTGAACAGGGGAATTGTATTAGTGGTACCTATGATGACGATGACGTCGCTGTCGATGGGCATTTTTCCATTCATAAAGGGTTCGTTTATGAAGACGTTCAAGTCGACCACCTTTTCTTACCATGAATCTAAAGTAGGGAAGTTTTTAATGCATCAAGATTTTTAGGTTTGTTCATTGTTCAAATATTAGGAAATGGTTGCTTCTGGCTTCTGTTGCCAAAAAGTTCTTCTGGCTCATACTAGTACTAGTTCCTATACCGTCGAGTTATTTTTAACTTAGTATGCGTATTGCACACTGTGCGTGCTACTTGAAGACTTGTAGTAATAAAACCTATTCACTTCCACTGATTGTTAGCGGTAGTTCTACGGTTTGTAACGCCAATAAAAGTTTTACTGGTCATTAGAAAGGGTGTCGTCGGTTGCGGCGCAAAGTGTGGAGATTCACACTTTTTACAAATTACTCGTAATGACTAAGGATAACTGAAAAATGCAAAATCACAATTTTCGCTAAAATTCTGTGAACGAGGAGGGTCAAAAGAGATCCAAGGACATACTCCCATTCCTAGTGGAGTAACCTTATCTGTGGGATTGCAGTAGGCATACGGTATGGGTCAACCTCAAGATTTGCTATGATTTTGCAAAAAGTAGTAATTTTTCATGGTTTTCTGCTCATTGTAACTAAATTGTTGGGGGGGGGGATATTACAGATGACCATGAAAATGCATCCGTTCCTCACGGTGAAGCCTTACTTGTGGGGTTACGGTAGGCATACGGTACGAGTTAAATTTCAGATTCTGCTGTATTTTGCGTAAAAGAGACACTTGGCATTTTTATATGTGTAATTTAAAGAGTCTTACCTGTCTCGACTGAATCCCGCTTCAGAAGTCACAGCGAGCAGAAAAATCAAAAACAGAAACAGAACAGCTCGCAAGATCATTAGTCTCGGAATATCTGCAAGATGTCGTCGTTAATGTTTTTCTGTGGAAATCCGTATGTTCATGGACGCGAGGCGAGATGCGCATTGCATACGGTATCGGCGCCATGACGTATACATAAAAAGGAGCGAGGGTGTATGAGTTTGTAGGAGAAAAACGTGACAATGATAGGGCGGTTTGCGACCACTTCGGCGAACATTTGCAAGCGAATCGCCGCCGGAAATTGACGCCGAGCATGAGTCAGAGGATGAGAGCATCGAGCAGATACAGTAATCTTAAGTGATGAGCAAATTGAAAAAACAAAACGGTTGGTTAATCCTTCAGGCGCGAATTTTGAGTGAAAATTGTATAATTTACAGGTTTTGCGTGAAAATGCATCGAGAATTTTTTACGGAATGATACCGTCAACCATTAGGATTTCTTCTGACTAGAATATCTTGCCTCATTCTTTTAGGATGGCCAGTGCCGTTGAAAAAAAATTCAAAAAATGCAAGAATCGAACTTTTTACACCAAAAGTAATTATTAGCTTGTTCCGAAAGTTCTGTCGCTTTGAATTTGAAAAATTCGTAAATGCTTCCTATGTAAACGTATCTACTTACGAAAAACAATTCCAGATAGAAAAAATCATTTAGTTCCTGAAAGCGTCTCTACGGCTCTTTGACAACAGATGACTCCAGAGATAAAAATCAGAGAACGAAAGACACTCAAAGTCCCGACTTTCGAAATTTAATCATCAAAAGTCTGAAACGCTGCAGAAAAACCTATGAATTTTTCTATCTGGGATGTTTTTTGTAAGGTATTTCCGATCTATAGATCCCGAAAGTAAAAAATGATAGGACAGAAAAGAGCCTGAAAACAGATTGATGCGCTAGAATTAGGTAGAGATACAATCACAGACTAGAAAGTTGAGAAGTTTTACGACAACAATTCAACTGTCAAAACTGTTCGCATAAGAAATTTTGATTGAGGCGAAGGAGACTGTAGTGCCATATAACCAAGAAAGTTTGCATGAACTGAGGTTTACGGCAATGTTGATAATGTTTTTATGAAAATGAGCATTGAAATATTTTTCGTTTTCAATTTTGCTCACATGGTCAAATGTTCAAACTCTAAATGCTAAAAATGTGACGTAATTTGCAATGGGGCTCTCTTAAATTCCGATGTTTAGCACGGCAGCACAAATAAGGAATTATAAATCAAATGTTCAGATAAACATCTTGATTGATGAATATTAGGGATTGCAACGACCTCAAACTGTTAAATAGGCGGCCCAAAAAATCAAAAAATCAACTTCGAAAGCAGTTTGGGATGGATGAAAAATTCTAAATCGCAGCCATAGATCTATACTTTTTCAAACAGTAGTGCTGTCTAAAGCTTAACAAATCTCTTTGGGTGGGGAAGGGGCGTGGTGGGAGCGGAAATGGGATCTGTCAAGTCATATTGGTACAGCAACCTGACGTCAGTTTATATAGGAGATGAATGAGTTAGCAGAGCGTTGATGGCGTTTACCGAGGGCGTGGTCGAGGTTGATCAGTGAAGCCGTTGCAGAGAGCTGGTCTGTAAAAGGGGGAAACTTGCTAGATCTGGGTGGGGTGAGAGTATGAGTAATCGCGATACATTAGCCAGCTAAGCACTTACTACAGATCTATATCGCAGCGCTAGGCGATGAAAGAATCGCAGAATCGCGTCGCGTCATCGCCTCATGTGCTCATCGTCATCGTCGTCGCCGTCGTCGCCGTCGTCGCCGTGGCGAACAGGTTCACGAAGAATCTCTCGTGATTCCTCCTAAGGCCGTCTGGTCTGTCCCTCCCTCCTCCTTGATGCCTCATTTGGGGCAAGCGAATTAGGGACTATGGAACAGACTAATAACTCCGAACAGGTGTTTATTCGCGTAGCCACACCCAGTTCCATGTTGCCGACGTGTCTGTAGAACATAAACAAAGGCACACTACAGCGTAAGGGAGTTACTTCCGTTACCTGCTTCCGTTGGGCCGTGGAAATACAAATCGAGCATTCTCTAAAGTTCAGAAAGTACTACCTTAGACTCCTTATATATGAAGTATACTACAAAAAAAGTTCTCTCAGAATATAAATCTTATGTGAGTTTAAACAACCCACATAAATTTTCTACGAGGAAATTTTCCGTTGCATCGATGACCCATCGAAGACTTTGAAAAATGTGTTTTCCTAAGGTCACATGCCCGAGATTATAGTTCGTCAATTTAGCAAGAAAAAAACTTTGCTTTCGAGTTTCTTATGAGGATGAAATTTGTCAAATTCATCTCTGTAGTACACATGACAGTGTCGAAAGATAGATAAGTAGCAAATGTTGTTAGACATGCATCAAAGTGTTCCCCACTGGAGTAACAGGACCCTTCTATTTTTGGAAGTGGAAAAAGGTCCTAAATTATAAGCAGCAAAAGAAACGACGAATAGCTAGAGCTACGATATTTGGACGTTTAGGAGCAGATTTTCGAGAATAATGTAAGGAAAGCTTATACTCTCACTGAGGTTATAATTTTTCTGAGAATGCTCTATGTTTTTGAAAAATAGAGATAAAAGATTCATTTGAAAGCGAAAATGCGTCACTTTATACTTCTGGACGCTACTGAATAGTCTGACAAATTGCCAAACTAGGGTATGTCAGCGGCTGCGTAGTAATTTCGGCGAATTGTGGAGCTTTTTTCTGAATTTTGCAGAATTGGTCAGCAATCCAACTTTAGCTGATTATTTCCTTCCAAATGATGCAAAAGGACCGGCTTGTGCGGACTTTGTCGAGATGACAGACATGCCGCCAGCGACATCGGTGGGGCAGAACCGGCGCGATAATCACTAAAATCCAAATGGAGACGCCCAAATGCAGCCACATGTTCGAATCATTTCGCACTTAACGTAAGATCAGGTGGATATGTGTCATTAACGTTGATAGAGTAGGAATTAGGCTTGAATGAGCTTGCTCCAAAGATGTTTCCTTAAACTGGAATAGATTGGAGAGCGATCCGCAAAACAAACCGGCATGGGCCTGATCAACGACTTTACGACTTACAGTTACTGCAGATAAACGTATAAAAGGATTTTAGTGTTTCGCCGGAATTGGCTAAGACTTTTTAGCGAAAAGTTGGGGGGGGGGGGGGGGGGAAATTGACCGATGGTCACTTTGTTGTCCAAGAAAACACAGTTTGAACCCCCAAAAAATACATAAAATTGGTCTGGGACTGCTGTGTTGGCTGTATAGAAAATTCAGTGAAAGGGAACTTTTTTTGCAAAATGTCGTTTTTCACAAATTTTTTGTTTTTGCAACTGCATGAAAGATTAAATTGCGGCGAGTTTGGTGAAAAAAAAAGTTTGCGGAAACTGTGCACGGTTGGAAATAAAAACTGACACCATAGCTAATAATTCATAGGATTCCTATCAATTTTATAGCGCATTTTACAACAAACATAACTGTTGAAAGATCAAAGTTGTTGATTACCATAGATTTATATTTGAAAATATATATATATATATAGACGTTCCGTGTTTGTTTTATATTTTGACTACCTTTTCCAAATGAGACAGAGATGCTTGACATTGGCAAACTAATTTTATCCTAGCTTAGATTTTGAGACCAATAAAAATTGATTTTTTATCTTTTTTATCCAAGATGAAAAATGAAAAAAATGCAAATGCTTGTGCAGTGCTTGAACATTTAATACTCCAAAAACATAAATTGAAAGCTTGGAAAAATTGTATTATATTGTGAATTGTATTACAATCAAAGATCAAGTTTCTTGCAAAAGAAGAATACTTGGCAACATTGAGAAAAAACTTTGCAAACATCAGCAACTGCACAATACTTGGTCTCCCACAAAAGGTCGTTCGAGAAGAAGTTTTGAATGACTGATCTCAGAACACATATTCATAAAAAGTGTCAGATGTCAATGTGTTGATCGTCAAGCGTAAAGGACGAGGACGTCTGGAGGAAAACTGAAACAGAATTTTCTTAGACACTTTGGCCAGCAGTGGGAAAAAGTTTGAGGGCAGACGTTGCAGTTGCATTGCACAATATCAAAGAGAAAAACTTAGGAAAAAAGTACAAAAACCCAAAAATATGATGGTTTTTACTGAGACTGAGATGCGTGACGCTGACAAACTAACTTCTGGCTTACATTTTGAGGCGAATAAAAAATTGAGTATCTTTTATTATATTTAGCCAAGATGTAAAACGAAAGAAAGTGGAAAGTCTTATGCACTTTGATCAAAGAACCAAGAAAGTAATGGAGTCTAAAGCACGGATTTTAAAGACTTTGAACTGAGAGATCTACACCAAGCGTTTGAAATGCAAAAATTGGATTTTGGAACGCAGCCAAACTTGCATAATCCATGCCCACCACCATCTGCACATCCCAAAAAAAAAACATGGAATTCAAAGCCTACAAAACTCTTTGAAAAACCAAGCTGAGAAGTCTAAACCGCGTTTGAACGCAAAATTGAATTTTGGAAAGCAGCCAAAACTTGCATCGTCCATACCCCACCATCTGCGCATCCTAAACTTTCAAATATGTCCAGCTGACTCATATGGTTAAGAAAATCATCTGTCGGACAGGAATACGTCAGTATGAGGGAATGCGACAAAAGAGACTTGTGTGCGACACCGAAACAGATGCACAAGGATCTACGAAATTGGAGTTATTGCGAAATTTGCGGTAAAAATGAGGGCATTAGTCACTAGCGATTCATCATTCTCGAAACCGAATAATGTTCAAGCCGGGGCCGTCGCGCCGGTACGCGTAGCAATCGAGCTTCGGAAGTGATGAGAAAATCTATTGTGACACCGGCGGAAGTGGAGTGGAGACGGTAGTAGAGGAGCGACGCGCTGCGCGAAATCGCGCCGGGCAGAAGCGCGACGCGATTTGCATTTGCACCCACGCATAGAGAACGCGCACAACACAACATCATAGACGGATTGATAAACGCGCTCATCAGGGGTTAATCTCTACGTTAATGCACGAGAGAGAGAAAAGACTTGATTTCATC